TTACCTCTCCCCCCACAAGATGCCTTCGATAACAAGGAATAATATAATTAAAGCTACAAGAAAAAGAATGTAATTGACTGTTGATTTGGGGACAGTTTTATATACAGGGTGTCCGTAAAAAATGTGCCTACTGTTTGATTGTGAATAACTCTCTTCTAACGAAGTCTTTCGAGAAGCTTTAGGCACCATTTTGTAGAGCGAGGTTCAGCTTAGATTTGCAGTATAGAGCGAATCACCGAGCTCTTTTTATTACTGTAGGATTACGGTAGGAACTTTCAGCATATGGAACCATCGTGAAATATGCCGCCTGACAAAATTTTTTTCAAAAAATCTGAAAAATCGTATACTAGGGTTTTCGCGCACGCTGATTCCACTACACAACTTTTTACGGGTGTTTTCAGCTTTTTTGACGGTGTAATCACATTTCTGAAAAATGCTGGAAATTCAATTATTACGGTTCACCTGGGGTAACTTAGGAAAGAGGCACCACAGTAAAGTGGAAATTTCATATTCGAAAAGAGCGGCTTCCATTATCATAGTGTAAGAATTTCCGGCTTGTTTGGTTATGTTCCGAGGCAGATTATGGCCTCCAAAGACCTAAAATCCTTGTCGAAGTTCCTACCGTAATCCTACAGTAATAAAAAGAGCTCGGTGATTCGCTCTATACTGCAAATCTAAGTTGAACCTCGCTCTACAAAATGGTGCCTAAAGCTTCTCGAAAGACTTCGTTAGAAGAGAGTTATTCACAATAAAACAGTAGGCACATTTTTTACGGACACCCTGTATATGTATGTATGTTATTATGTATGTATGTTATTTGTATCTAATTTCTACTAACATTCATCAGCAGGCACAGCAACTCATATCTAATCACATAAGTACATATATTAATTTGCATTGCTCAGGCGTTTTGTGAGTCCGGCTAATTCCTGATTACACCTTGAGCACGTCTTCCAAACAGAAAGAAAATGCAATCGTTCTCAGCACCAGCTTCAGCGGCATGCACCTCAAATGGGAGAATGACCAAGTAAATCAATGAATGGCATATCTGGCTTCGCCCGCTCCTATCAATACATTATGATAAAGGTTGCCATTTCCCTACTCTATGCAGCATTTCCTTATCCCTGTTTTACTTCTAAAAATTAGTTCCCTGCCCTCACTAGGTGTTTGTAATCAGCGCGCTCATTTATCTCCAAAAGAATGAATACGGAAACAAAAGAGCTTGAACTTGCTGCATAGATCGTTGTTGATTTTCGATGCTGATAATTTATGATCAGAACACAGCCACACAGTGATCTTACGATTACATCAAAATGCTATGGTAAATTATGGAGACTAGCGGCCCTAAGGGCCGCTTGCAAGTATGCTAGGGTACATATAGTCATCACCACAATAACCTCTACGTTTTATACCTTTTTAGGGTTCTGGGCAACTGAAACCGAGTAATAAATGACTTTTGACTCTTCTGATTGTGAGAATCCTCTTTGCTGATTATTCGATACCTTTTGACTCTCTTCTAAAAATTTTCTTTGGGTCAAATGTTTGCACCAATCTCAACAGAGTCACCAAGCAGTCGGCTCTCAAAGCGACAATGTAGTCTACACTCAGCTAAACACTCAGAAAGTACCTCAGTTCCCGAAAAATTCCGGCAGCGAAAACAAGCATTGTATTCTCATGCCTTATGCGTCGCCTATAAACCACTTTTTGCAAATACGTACTGCTCCGCGCCTTCAGAGCGGTATATGTGAGAGCTGCCCCACGATCCTGGAGAAGAATACTTCAAGAAAAACTTTCCTACAGGCCTCCTACAGAGCGGTAATCTGAGAAAATAGTGCCCTTCATACCCCTACAAATGATATCGTATTCTGGGATAAGTCTGCCATACAATCCCCCCCCCCCTACAAATCGAATATTGCGGGGAAGCTTTTGAGCTGCTTACAGACGGAAAAATTGCCCTATGGTCCGCCCGCGGACGGTAATTAGTCATTAGAAGGAAATGCCCTATGGGCCGCTTACAGACCCTTATTTTGACAAGACCACACTGTGGGCTGCTTACAGATTGGTATTTTTCAAAAAAAATATTTTCAAAAAGAGCTGCTCATGTAGAATGATCCTACGAGCCGCTTACGGACCTTTTCCAGAAAAGGTTGCCCTATGGACGCACACAGACCGATATCAAGAAGAAATTGTCCTTCAAATCTTCAAACCAACTTTCAAAAATTGTCCTAAGAGCCGCTCAAAGTCTATTATTGCAAGAAGCAGTCGCTCACCCTATGTGTAGCACAAGCTGGTATTTTGAAACAACAGAAGCTATGAGCTGCTTGAGACATATCTTTACGTAACTACCATCGATATATTAGAGAATATAACTGCCCTATGCGCCGCTGCAGAGTGGTAGTTATAGAAAGAAAATGCCCTATAGGCCACTAACAGACCGATGTTTTGAGAAGTTACTCACGCCCCCTACAGACCGAGGTTTACAAGAACCCCCTTCCCCTTCCTCCGTCGTTCCTCTCCCAACAAACCCTACTGGAGAAAGAACCGTGCTGAGACTGCCCTAACAAGGGAAGTGTCAGAAGTCGCAGTGGCCTTTTGACATGGGATGGGTACCATCTTAAGCAGCTTTAAATGCTGATTCCAAAACAAACTTTCTTAGCTGCAGAACTGATCTGGGTCGCGAGTTATGGGCATTTTAAACATTAAATTTTAAACTGTTTGAAGTACTCTGTGATCACGGGAACCTTTCAATTGCTTGTTTAAGCACCACAGCATGACTTTGATGAAGGCGTAGGATTACGTTAAACATTGTTGGACTGTTTCATCTATGTTTGAGCCCGAAAAAATGTTCGCTTTAATTTTTGGCTATTCTCAGCGTTGTAAATTTCCCACAAATTAAATTCAATAACTCTCGTCCTAGATTAGTTCTGCAGCTAAGAAAGGCTGCTTTGGAATCAGCATTTCAAGCTGCTTCAGATGATACTTATTTCATGTCAAAAGGCCACTGCGAGTTCTGACACTTCCCTTGTAAGACCGATATTCTGAGAAAAGGCTATCTTACCCTCCCCCCTCTTCCTTCCCCCACAGACCGATAATTACAGGAAGCCCTGCCCTATGGGGGATCAGCAGATATTCCAGATTACAGATCTACAGCCCCTACAAACTGTATTGCCCTACGAGGCACTCACGTATAATCTGCTCTATGGACAGCCAAAGACCGAAGTCTTGAGAAAGAAGCTGCCAGCTACTTATTGTTAGAGGCCTACACAATGGTATTTTGAGGAGGAACCGCCCTTGGAACCTATATACAACCAATATTTTGTGATAAAACTGCTCTATGGGCCACCTACAAACCATAATTTGAGAAAGGACTGCCTTATGGGATTTTACAGACCAATATTTCAAGAAAAATTGCTCTATGTGCCGCTGCAAATCGATAATTTCTAAAAGGAGCGGCCGAGCGGGGAGGGGGGGGGGGGGCTTGCCAACGATAATTTGTAAAGAATCGCTCCATGGGCCTCTTGCAGCATTTTGGGAAATAACCGCTCTATGGGCGCTCACAGACCAATATATCAAGAATTGAGCTGGAAACCCTCAAACCAATATCTCGAAAAAAATTGCAGCCGTTCAAAGACCGATATTTGAGAAAGAGCGCTTTCCGAGTCCCTTATGAATTAGTCTTCTGAGAGAGAAAAAATAATTAGAACAGATTACAGTATATTTACGCCTCATACAAACAACTTTCACAAGTAACTCCTCTACGCGCCGCACACAGACCGACAATTTTAGGAGGTGCCCTAGTCGCTTATACATTAGCATTTTGAGAAACAAGTACGAGCCTAAAAAGTGCCTGATGAGAAGCTTATGGAACGATAATTGTATGACGATTCTACGAGCCCTTCCGCTCCTCTTCAAATTCATATCTAAAAAAAAGCGCATTATGGTCCACCTTTAGAACTATAAATATGAAAATGAAATGTTCCCCTTGCGGACCGATACTTTGAGAAGGAACCACCCTACAAATAACCGCTAACTGGATAATTGTCGAAAAAACTCCTCAGGGGAGCTTACAGATCAATATTTTTAGTAGAACTGCCTTACTGGCACCTACAAATCAAGAAAGAGCCCTATGAACAGATTAAGCATTGAAAGATATGCCCAATGAACAGCGAACAGACTGGAGTTGTGAGAAATGATTGCAGAGACCTATAAGAATAGCCTTACGACTTACCAACTTATTTCAAGAACAGAGAACTGTCCTCATCAATTCTCACCAACTATGCCAGCTATGAACTTTAACTAATTATGGGCAGCCAAGAACTTAAGCAGGAAAATGAAAATGTGAGCAGTCGAAGGGTAAACGTTGAAGAACTATTAAAGCATGTCTACGCTAGACAGCGAGTTCCGAATCATTCATACCGGCAGAGTTCAAACTTGCGAAAGAAGGGGGGGGGGTACTGTTAGCAACCTTACGAGAGTGTCGGCCCCTTCCCAACTATAGCCTTTTTGCACTTAAGAACCGCACCCCTTTTGGACGCCTTCCTCGAGGAGACACGATATTTACCACCCCCTGTACCCCTACGAAAACACGCTAGCCTTGTAGACAATCTGCACCCTCCGCACCCTCGGCAATCACTCGCCTCAGTCCGCAACTTGTCAACATGTAAGTGCAAAACCTTGCCATTCTTTATTATAGAATGATTTCGTTTGGATACTTTCTTTTTCGGCACGCTGATCAAGCGTGAAAGAAGTCGTTTGTGTGTAGAGATGGGTTATCGCTGATAGCAAAAATATATTCTTAACCTCACACCTATATATTTTCTCATAAGCCTAAAATTGGCTCATAGCTTGTCAGCCCATGAAAGATTTATTGACTCAAATACGTACAAATACGGATAAGCTAGATCAAACCGTAGTGAAAGATCACCCGAAAAATGCCAATATCGAAGAGGTTGGATGAGATACAGCTCACAGCAAGAGGTTAGCACCTATGATACATTGCATCATGATACTTTCTCGTTCTCTAGAGAGGCTTCGCGTGACCCGTCTACAGCTTGCTCGACATTAGAAGTATTTTCGGTGGGACCATCCTTCTTTATAGTACTCTGTGTTTCACCAGTCGCTTCATGAGCATTCTCAAAGACTGCGGGGGATGATTGTTTGACACTAATACCAATTGCGGCCAAAACTTCGGAAAGCTTTCTGGAGTAGTCCAGATGTCCTTTCACCTGAAACTGACTGATAGTGCTATCGTTCAATACCGAAGGAAGGACCCACTATGTGACTGAGATTTTGGTTGAATATTTTCTTATTTTTGGCGTCCACAGGGCCAGTACCAGCAATTGTGAATTGCACGCTCATTGTGCGGTAAAGGAACCTACAACCATGTACTGTCAGAGAATTTTGTGAAATTCTGTTTGGCTCGCGGAAGCTGGCGCCGTTCGCGCGAATTTTGCAAGTTCTGCGGGCGGCACTATGTATCTATACAAGCACGCATTTTGAACTTGTATGCTGAACGTTTGATCTTCCCGCACATTTTCTAGAAAATAAATTAATAATACTTTTGACATTGCTTCCCAACCAATGAAGAAAAAGTCGGATCAACTCGTCCAGCTGGTCCAGTATGGTGCTGAGTTTCTATTTCCTCATCTTTGCTGAATAAAACATCGAGATGTGTTAGGTGCAATCTTTTCTAAGCACCGGGTTGGCAAACGGAATCTGTTATCGTTTTTCCCTTGCACATTCGAAAATTTAAACCTTCAAGATGTTGTATTTCATACCTCTTCAAGGGATGCCAAGGTCTACCCGTGGGTGTCGCCAATACAGATAAACCAGACAACAGTAAACGAGAGTCTTTAAGTAATTTTGGCACATATTTCTCTTGGTCAAAATGGCACCGTGCGCCATTGTGGTGGCGCGCTGTCCCAAGAGGTGCGTACTCATGTCTGCACCATTTCTTAGTCCCGATAAATCCTCGACAGTATATCTTGCCCGGGTAGTCTTTCAGTAATTGGTGATCTGTGCGAAGAATGAGAAACTGAAGTGTCGGAAGTTCTACTTGCGCATGTGTGTTTCGGCCTTTTTGGAATTTTGAAAATGAGAGAACAGGTGTATCATCTCAGACAATTCACGGGAGCTTCCCGAAAACAAGCCAATTTTGGCAAACTTCCCGAAGAACTCGTTTAACACAGAGGTGAATGGAAGCGCAAAAATGGGAGTTTCCCGAAAACTTTGACGTCAGGAGCAACGCAGTTAGGAACTTCCCGAGGATTTCTTCGGGAAGTATCTATAAATGCGAAACTTTCCAAAAGCTTTTAAGAAAAGGGAATTTTCCGAGAGCTTCGCGGTATTTCGTAATAGCGCTACTTTCATTCTAATGACTGAATTGTCGTAAAAAGTCACAGAGTCTTCATCAAACTTATGTAATGGTCAGTGCGATATCTGATTTAGCGCAAGTGCGGACTTCTAGTGTTTCTTTTCCATCGTCCTCTCGTTTTATTCTGTAAATTGACTGAATTCTCTTCTTTCCATGTGGCATTATTCAAATGTATTTGCATCACTTGTCGTTAAGGGTGAAGTGACCTCTTGCTTGTTACTTCGCACATCATAATTACCGTCCTCTGTCGCAGTGCGAGGTGTGAAGCTATGACCCAGAGCCAAAACAAGCAAATAGATGATCCGGCTATTGAATTACCTTAATATATGTGCGACCATCTATTGTACAGCTCTTTGCGAGTGCGGCTGTTATGATGCACCATGTAATAAGGAAATGACTCCTTTTGACTTTACATTTACTCATAAATTTTACGTGTTTCGAAATTCTTCTAAATGTGACTTTGTGCTGTTTTATATATAAAAAGGAAAATATGAATTTAGGCAAGTCTTTTTCAGCGTCTGATTCTCCTTGCTTTCTTTTCTGTATTTCGTAACAGTGCACTTGCGCTATTTCACTATACTGCTAGTCTGTCAATCTGTTATAGATGGTGAAAGTTTAGCAATTCAAATTGGAGTGTTATCTTAGGTAGTATTTAGATTCTGGTTCCTAGCTGAGTGGTTGTAATTTCGATCTTTTCTCCTCCTACTAGTGAAGCAGTTATGTGAAGGTGCTATATGTGCGTGCGCTTCGGGACCGCACCGCGGTTTCTCGCGATTTGATGATTTTCAAACTGCGCTTACGATTCTTTGCATATTAGATCTCTTCTTTCCTCTTTTCTAACGTGAATTTTTTCAGAGCAAGGGCATCAGCCGAATATAGTCGCGACGAACAAATAGTTCAAGGCTTCTACTTTGAGGGCACAAGTCGACTTTCAGGTGAGCGTGATTGCGCTTTATTTGACACTAGTTATGCTTCAACTCACTTCTATGATAATGTTTCTTTCTCTTTTTTGATTTAGCACTGCTTTTCTTTCTTTCTTTTCTTAAAGTTTCCTGTTTTCCTCTCTGATTTAGCACTGCTCTCTTGCTTTCTTTCCGAAGCTGTGCACATTAGAGATCACTAATGAGAATATACAATAATCTTTAAGCAAGAGTAATGAAGTTGTTCGAGGATCTTTTATTCACCTCCCATCTTTCCACTTTCTCTTTCACCCTCTATTCTCTTCACCCACATTCCGCTTCATGCAACCTACTAAGACATTTCGTATTTCACTCACATTTTTTGTTTATTTTATGGATTGAAATCTCTTCTTTGTGTCTATTTGGATTCTTGCCATGCACTACTTCGTAGTCACTATCAATTGTTGCCGCTGTTGCTGATGTTACCGCTGTATCCTTGTTACTGATGTTGCTGCTGTTACCTAATCATTGAAAACTTGTATGGAGAAATGAGACTTGATTGTTCGTTCCATCATCTAACAGCAGTAGCAGGGGTAGCAAATAACAGCAGCAGTAGTGGTTAACAACAGTAGCAACAGAACGTCGATAACAACTGACGATGGAAACGCTGCCTGCTAACAGCAGAAACAGCGCTTTTGTATGGTTGAAACTAAAGCTGTGATAAGTGTATTTTTGCACGATTGGTTTGGTGGAATCTTTTGCTACTCAAATTTATAGATCCATTAGGCTTTGGCCGAACTTTATCCGTGTTACCCATGTTACCGGTGTAACCTGTGTTACTAATGTTACTAGTGTTACTGCTTTTACCGCTTTTAGTGCTTTAAGTAGTGAAATGATCACAGATACAGGCTCATTCTAGAACGCGATCTCATTGACTAGTGGCGAGTGAGTAACACGGGTAATACGAGTAGCACTAGTAACAATGGTAATGCGAGTAAACGAGTAACACGGGTAAGACCAGTAACACGGTAACACGGGTAAAGTATGGCTAAAGCTCTAGCGGGAAGTTTTTGAGCCATTCTTTAATGTCAGCTCATATCAATTTTTAGTTGAATCGTACTGTCTCTCTCAACAACACACATTTCCATGAGCTTAAATTTGCCTGTACTAAGTGTGTAATTCTCATGGATATCCTCAGATCTGCTTTTTGTGAACAAGCGTAGTAATTTGTTTGCTTTTCAAATTCGCTACCTCATCCATCGATGTCCATCTCTCTTTTGGTGTTTTCTCAACATCTTCACCTTTCTTTATACTACTCTCGTACTCAATCTCTCATCCCAAAATTTCAAATAAATCATGCGAACTTTATCCCCATTTTTAGCGCAGATGTTCAAGAAATGGAGACTATTCGGCGTAATCGTCATCGGAGACGTAGTGAGTGGGCTGGAACTGAAGTGGAGGATACCAGCGGTTCGGTAAGTATTTACTGTCTTTCTAGGCACTAGGATATGAAATAAAATCGACCATTAGAGAGGCATAATAGGGACAAAATTTGTTACAAGTTAAGAAAACAAAACGGAAGACCGAGGAAATGAGATAACAATGAAGACAATAAAACGGGTTGCAGTGGGTTGCAAAACATTGTGTTGATTAGCTTTAATAGGATAAGTGGGCGTAGCTGCAGCGGTTCGATAAACTGTTTTCAAGTTTAGCAGGCTAGACGTGCTCGATTGAGCCTTGCGCCGAGTACGAGTAGCGAACCTGCGGCTTTACTCTCTACATTATCACAAGCTGCCGCCGACGAAGAGGTAGGCCCCAGCCAAATTGTTGCTGAGGAGACGGCAGATCTTAGTGACGTTGCTCCTAATGAAACGGTAGCACTCGGAGAAGGTGGCGTTAGGAACGTGGTAGAGCTAGGTAATGTTTTGTTTGAGCAATTTTGGAGAGAAGAACTGTATCATAGCTTTAAGACTACCGGGACAAGCTTAATAAGCAAGTAATGTTGATTAGGCCTCTGCACACTTTTTAGTGCGAGCCTAAGAAGGAGGTTTTGGATGATGTGGAAGAAATTGAAATTGAAAAGCCAAGGAGCGACTCTTCGGATTCCTCTGAACGTGCGTTTATACCTCATTTCAAGCTTACAATCTCAAAAATTGGTGAAACATAATTTAGTGGGGTTGGAACGAGTATATGCGACTCTAGAGCCTGTTCAAGCACTGCATACGTCTACCGTACATTCGCCAGATGTGACAGGTTCGTAGCCATGTTCTGAACAGAACTATTTACTTCTTCTTCAGAGCATGGTTCAGCGCAGCAGATAGGATGGTCATCTTCTTCGGAGCCAGGCACATCGCAACAAGTACCTTGGTCAAATGAACCAGGTTTCTAGTAAACTCATCTGTATGCGCCAGAATGTTTTCTAGAGTCAAAATCTAATAGGAATTGAAAGGGCGCCAGTCGGTTCGGCACCTCCCTCGCAGCAACCTACCTTGCAGTCGGACGCTTTGGGTTGGCGATTTTGTTCACATGGTTTATTACATTGCAAAAGCCATTTTAGACGTAATGCGCACATGTTTGTCGCGTGAAATTGGAAGCACGGAATTTTCAACCCCGCTCTATGCAATGGTTGCAAGAGGAACGCCGTTATCAAGTGTCACTCTGCAGGTATTCCTGCTTCTTTTCGCAGCACGCAAGGAAAGAATCTTTTTTAGGAGACGCTCCACCATTGTAGGCAAGTAACTCAGTTCGATCTACAGGATCTGTCTAGATTGGTGCAGAGCGCCAAGCGCTCTAGGCATGGTATTTCTTTATTTGATAACATCGAAACAACGCGGCTCTTGGTAGAAAACGCGATATCCAACCGCGTGCTGGTGAGTGCAGCTGTGACGACTTTTATGTATCGGTTAAGGGGGAAAGTAGGATTCGTCACGCTTAAGCATTTGAATCAGCATTGCTCGCTACAGGTTAATCTTCTGCTAACAAAGAACAGAGATCTCGAGTCTCAAATCCATGTACTGCGACAGATCTGCAACAAGCTTACTAGCGGAATCAGCGAGTCCTCTTCCACCATAAGCTTCAGCCCTGATAATCTCAAGAAACAGCACATAATCAAGCGTAGTTCACCATTCAAGGTAGTTAGGATCAAAAATTAACCAAAGCCAATTATGCTTATCATAGGAACTAAACCTCAACGAGCTTCTCGCCGGCTACACAGCTCCGAGTAGAGTCAAACACAAGACTTCGCTCGTCATCAATGACTTTTTACGTGTGATCTTCAGACAGGTTGGCCATTCATGTTCATAACTTTCATAACCAATGAACATGTAAGTATAATAAAAAAATCTAGTTAAGTAAATATGAGTGGACTACAGCGAGATTTGTAGGTTTGTGGACCAGATCCCTCAGATATATGGAATTTTCCTCATCGTACATCTAATGTATCGCGCAAGCCGGATTTACAAGATCTGCCTGAGTCCATAGTTATCACACTCAACGGTACGAAACTAGTCATGTAAGAAATTCTCATTCAAATCATTCTTTAGATTTCGTATTGGATGCGCTTAGCCTCGGCAACGAGGATTTGGAGGGATACAGATTGAATTCGATAAGAAGCTTGCGCACTAGGTGCGTTGGTGTTTCGTAAGCAGTCTTTACCTACTCAAATGATTTAGTTACTGGATCTCTCTGGGTACATCCGATGAAGAACGCGAGAAAAAGTTCAACTATCTGCTGGAGCAAAAAACTTTCTACTGCGGCCAAATCAGGACCTGTATCGCAGAAGCACTGTAAGTTTTCCAGAATCGTCTTCTGCTTCTAAATTCAGTTTTACAGCGAGGATGTCCGTTATTATCGCCTCGACAAGGGAAAACTTGTGCCTTCAAAGGTTCAAACTTAGTCTCAGTTGTTTTTATACTAAAAATTTGTTTTCCAGAAATACAAGGCTACGCAGGTCGGATTTGGTAGAGAGGACAAGGCAAGTATGACGAAGTCAGAATGGAAGAGGAAAGCGCTACACAGTAGTGGAATTTGATCCCGTCGCTGTCCTGTTTGAACCTGATGTTTAATTTCTGATCCATCATAAGTCTTCTCATGTAACATCGTGCCTTTGCCTCATTAGTTAAGCATGTTTCTCATTAATCAGTGCTTCATTTACTTACTCCCCGCTTACCTCTATATTCACTACATGCTTACTTCATATCTCACTATCAATATGATACTCCTTAAGGGCCAGGCATACTTCACGCGATTTCAGTCGCGACGCGACTTGGCAGTATTCCAACTGTTTATAACTCACTGTAAGCACATTTCAAAGGTGCAGAAGATATGGCATTTTATTAATCCACGTAAGTTATACACACTATGCATATGCAGTTTGCTAGTGTTGGATCTGAAGACTTCTGGCGAATTGCCAAATCGCGTCGCGACTGAAATCGCGTGAAGTATGCCCGGCCCTTTACGCATTATCCGGGCTACTGTAATTCGATCTTTTAAGAACTTGAAGAAATTCTCCCATTCCCTCCGTCGATATGTTATATCTACTGCTATAACAATAAATGATGGAGCATATCTGTTTTTGCGTATAACTACTACTAGTGCTCCACCCTTACTACTACACTACTTTGAGTAGCTGTACTAAGGGTGCGGCTTTATGAAGTAGCAGGATTCATCATGAAGGTTCGGTACAGCTACGCGGAGCCAATGTGAAGCCCTCAGGAAGTTCTGTAGATAAGTTCTCGGGAGATTTCCCACTTCTTGCGAATTTCCCGAGGACTTTTTTGCAAACTTCCCGAGCGCTTCACGGGAACTTCCGCAGGTGACCCGAGGAAAGTTCCCTCACGGACCTCGGGAAGTTCCCATTGATTGTCTGAGATTCATCCGCCAACATAATTTGCTTGGACATCGCCTATTCTTTGCACCACGTATCGTATCGCACGGCAAATAATCAAAACAAAGGTTGAAAACCTCAATAGCCAATCAGTTTCGCAATATCCATTGACAACTCGACCACCAACAACGGAGCACAGTTGGTCCCATTCACGCGAAGAGGCAGACACCGGTGCACCAAGCAATATCACGTCCTCTACTACAATACCACCCGTAATTTGTGAAAAAAAATGGCGGCGGCACTTAACTTACGCGGCGCCGCCGAAGTTATAGTAGACGTCATCCGTCTAGTCACCTCGGTGCGGTGTGTGTTATTGCACACACATTTGAAATCCCGGATGAGGTGCTGGGGTCCCGCCGTGTCGTAGTCGCACCAACTGCACATACGGCTAAATTTTGACGCCAAACTGCCTGTTTCTCTTATTATTATGCTTTCTTTTTTGTTTTTAGCTTCACGCAACGACTAATTTTCGATGATTTGTCACCTTAATACGTCGTGCGTGCTGTTTCAGATCGAATGGTTCGAAAATTATTACTTTTGCTTCCAAGTAAGGGAAGCAGATGGGCAAACTTGCAGGATTTTGAAGTATGTCTACTTTATTCAGTATTGTCGTACGTAGAAAGCGGAGATTATCTCTTGGGCAGTACCAGTTTCTATTTCCTTCTCATCGATATCGAGAATTTTGGTTTTTAATGCCCGTGCCATCCTGTGTTTGACTTGAAAACAGCTTTTCATTGAAAACTCGGCAAAAACCAGGAATTTCGATATTAATGAGAAGGAAATTGAAACTCGTACTGCGTAAGAGATACTCTACGTCGAAAGTGGCAGACTTACTCCAAAATCCTGCAAGTTTGCCCATCTGCCTCCTTTACCTGTAAGCAAAAGTGATAAATTGCGAACCATTCGATCTGAAATAGCACGCACGACGTATAAAGGTGAGAAATTATTGAAAGTTAGTCGGTGCGTGAAGCTAAAAACAAAAAAAAAGCATAAAAATAAGAGAAACAGGCAGTATGGCGTCAAAATTCAGCCGTATGTGCAGTTGGTGCGACTACGGCACGGCGGGACCCCAGCACCTCATCCGGGATTTCAAATGTGTGTGCAATAACACACACCGCACCGAGGTGACTAGACGGATGATGTCTACTATAGGTGACTTTTGCCGCGTAAGTTAAGTGCCGCCGCCATTTTTTTTCGCAAATTACGGGTGGTATTGTATGCCTGCAAATCCCACACCGCTGTCTTAATTTTTGATGCAGAATTAATGCATTTTCCTCATGCTACCGGCGAGTGGATAGAAATAGTGTGGGGGAAAGAGAAACAATATTATTTGCCAGCCGCTGCTCACATCGATGCATTATTTGCGGAAGAAATAAATTCATTTGAATGGATAAGTTTCGCTCGTAGCACATTTACGAGTGTAACCTTTCTATGCAGTTCAACATTGTCTGGAGTTTGACTGCAAAAAATCTTTTCTCTGTGGTAATGACATTTTTTCTCGCAATGGAAGATACTTGGTGACAATAACCATTCCTAGGGACAGATATCACCAGATGCGACTTGAAGTGCAAGCTGTTTTCAAATTTGATTCCGCAATCTGATGAGCGGTTGTCTGGAATGAGCTATAAACATATTTTGCTTAAGAATTCCAGTTTCAGTTGAGCAAAACTACTCAGACAGTCGACGGCATACCTCCGGAGCAGAAATGGCCGAGCCGCGGGGTTTCCCCAGCTGGAGATTGCCACTCGTGCTCCGGAGCCCTCCCATTTGTGCTCCGGAGACCTCCCATTTTCTGCTCCGGGGCCCTCCCATTTGTGCTCCGGAGCCCTGCCATTTTCTGCTTCGGAGGTGTCCCAAATCTGGCGTACTCGCGGCGGGCAAATCTTTCCGCCGCGGCTCTCCCAGATCTGGCGTACCTCCGGAGCAGAGATGGCGTACTTCCGGAGCAGATCCGGAGAAGGGTCCCATTCGCCTGCTTGTGATGTCACCGTGACCTACAAGAAGGGACCGCCCTCTCGCCCCGCTCTCAATGGTCAATTGGGTCCGCCGCAGCTCTGCCAGATTTCGACTGTCCGGCGCGACTACGGCACCGATTTTCTGAGTATGAACATTGTTTAAATTTCTTGTTCCGCTTCTCGAACAGTTGAAGAAAAACGAATTCCTCTGAGCTTAGACAACCTGTCTCAGTCGCGTTCACCTTAAGTCGCAAATCAATGCTTCTGCGGAAAAAGGATCATGACCTTTATGTCAAACAATTGTCTAGCAGAGAGCGAAAGCAGGCGTGATCAGCGTTTTAGGATGCATTTAATGATATGTACGAATGCGGATGGTCAAGTCCCAAGTATCCCTCTCTTGTCAGTCCTTTTTACGAACGAAGTCTTGCCAACTCTCCAGTTGCTTCAAGTGCATCAAACAAGGAAGCTAGCTAAATTCTTGTCTGCGAATTAATAGAAATAAGGCGAAAAGTGCGCAGGTTACTAACACCTACCTGTACCAATGCAATGTTTGACTCCTCTTGTTCGCAACTCCGTCAGAAATATAAAGGTCACATTATCCCATGGAATAAAGCAAAGGCCAAGGCTAAGTTGAAGTTTGAGGTTAAAATTCAAAATATCAAGATACCCAAAAATATCTCCGTCTATTAAAATTCTACAAAGCCCAAACCAGTCATATAGGTATATATAGGTTATGTATATTATCAGTGGCGTACCCAGGATTTCCGCTCGGGGGGGGGGCGACAAAAATTTTTTTCGAATGAAGGCTGACGCCACGCACTCCGAAAAAATTTTAGGGGTGCTTCTCAGAATTCTTGCTGGTCCCCAACCCCTAAAATCTGGAAAAAGGGGGCGTGGCGTTAGCCACGCCCCCGAAAATTTTTTTTTACAAGGCTGATTTGAATTTTTAAAAATTTTTAAAATTTATTTCAATTATTTACAAGTATAAACAAGTCATTTGCACATTTTTATAACCCTTATAAGTAATTTTCAAAAATTTCGCAACCCATCCTTGGGGGGGGGGGCACGCGCCCCCCCCGCCCCCCCCCCTCGGTACGCCACTGTAGTAACTTCCAAAAATTTCGAGCCAAAAATGATGTAAACGTACGCATTGATGGATATCGCGCTCCAATCACATGCGGCGTTCTTTGGATTGTATGGCGAAAAATGTACCGCCAAATTGTTGAGGCTATAGATTTGGTTGGCTAGAAGGCTTTCAACATTCTCAACACTAAAACCGTACCACACTTGATGGCGGAGCCTTTAATCAACTCGAAATGTTCTGCTTTTTGTTATATTAGACACTTCAAAATGCGCTTTTTTCGTTTTTTATTATTATGTTGAATAGACAAGGGATTCCCTAATGACTTTTAGGTCAAAAAGGACTTCGTAAACTTCCGCGAAGTCATGAGGGAAAGGGGTTATCAAAGATGCTCCAAACCAACGCGTGCCGGGCCCTCGGGGGGGGGGGTCCTCAGTACGCCATTGCTCTGCAGATGTATCCCGAAGAGTTTCTATTACGCACTCGCTGCAAAGCTAAAATTGAGAAAGGAGACTCTTCACGTTTCAATCATTTTTAGAGAGGTCGCCGAAAATCTGGAACGCGCGAAAAAATCTGAAATCACATCAGTACTTGTTTCTCACTCATTTCAACTAAGGAAAGGTTATGCTATTTAGCGTACTCATTATGACGTTTTTATTGTGAACAACGAAGTACTCCTATTCTCACGGAAGCATTCAAACAGCACAACTTTGGTTGCAAAGAGCAGGTCCTAAAACCTAAGTAATGACGATTCCGGATTTTCTGCAATGCTCACCTTTTAGGCGACCTAACTTGAAATGACCAAAGCCTGAATGGTCTTCTTTTCTCAATATTATTTCTGCAATGAGTGTATAGTGAAAGCTCAGAAAATCACAAAGAGGAACACTTCTTCTTTCTAATGAAGTTGCAAAAAAGCAAATTCATTGAAATAGCGAAACGTTACAAATTTTCAAAATGGAACGGCAGAACTTTCAGGTCATCTAATACTTACTCACAGGGCCCATCACGAACTGGCAATGCGAATTTTCAAAAGTAAAGGTCCTTGAGATTGGAAAGATGCGACATCTTTGTTTTATGACAGTATTCAATTCAACAATCTGCAAACAATGAGTGGATAGAAGAATGAAGAGAAAAGGAAAAGCGGAGGTGCAGCTGCACAAGGTGGCGGTTTCTGTGACTTTAATGGACCTATCAAAGAGGGAACAACCTGGTCTAAGATGAGTGCTCACAGGAGGACATTCGAAGAATAGAATGCGAAGAAGACGAAAAATTGTGGCTTTATCTGATCCAATCGCAATCACATACTCGTTCCATTCGTGTGATTTTTTCGTAATTTGTTGTAGTTCCGTTGTGAACATCGCGCAAAACTAAACACCAACTTCAAAGTCTCGGTATTGCTTACGCGTTGTAGACAAACTGGTTGTTTACTTGCGGTAAGGATTGTGTTTTAACTCGTTTAGATCGTGTGCATGCAGGTTCATGCACGAATCATGTCCGTAACGTGCTACTTTACCTGCGAAATGACTTTCGAGCTTTAAATTCCAATTCTCCTAAAGGTTAGAGTTACGCTTGTTGATGTCCTGTCAAATTTCCGGGAATCACTTGTAGAAACTGTAGTGCGAGTTCTTTACCTTGTCCCTTAGAAGGGCATCCAACATATGAAAGTGTCACCACTGCTGAGCCCTTTTTCATACTAAACCTACATGCACAGTTTTATTTTTTCGTTGGAATGTGATGAATAAGAAAATGCCCGCTAACAATATTTTTGAATATAGCGCATGTGCATACCAAAAGTTTGAGCTTAGAATCATGCGGAAGCATAACATTGTTTTGGCGATAGCATGCCAACCTTCATTTCCATTTTTGAGAAATAGAGCTCCGCACATACGAAGTGTGATGTGAATAGTATGCGCGCGAGCTATTTGTTATTCTTGTAATTTCTTCTTGAATGGAGGATCAGATCCAATTTTTTGAGTATTTGCAATCTTATAATTATGGCTTCAAAGTTTATGTAATATTTGTACGTATGTTTCACTGCGTGCTTGTTTTGGTCTCGGAAAGTATGTTTATATCATTTTCCACTCTCAGTGGTAGCATGTGGAACATGCTTCGGCAACTCCACTATTTACACTCCTCACCTGCTGCTTCCGACCTTTTACTCATTGCAAGAAGGCAGTGATGAATAACCCTTGCACCCAACGAAAAACCCACAAGTGATATGGGACGCTTACCATGTGAACGACTAAGGAGGACCTCTGCGAGGTGTTCGCCATCCTACAGAACAAAGTGAAGGCGTAGTTACAGAAAATCAGGATAACAACCTCTGCGGCTCTAGCTATGCCTACATTCCATGGGTTGTCCAATACATTAGCGCAGGATAGTATGGCAACTGGCCAAACAACGGCTGTCATTAGACCTAGAAGTACACATAAATATCAACTGCTTTACTGGGATGCACACCTGCCAACGCAGTTTCCATCAATGTCTTTTGGATAGCCAATGATAAGGCGATGCTCATGATATAATTCATAGCCTCTCCCAACTCAATGAGGTATTTGCTTTCGTAGCGAAGAGTGTACTGCTCTAGTGACAGATTCAAATACCTCCATTGTTGTTTGAAAGACATTTCGCAAGACTAAAATGTAAATATAAAGAAACAAATGACAACTAAAGTCTGAAAACGTTTACCATAAAGAGGCTCATTAAACAGAAATAAAGTGTTGATGACATTCTCAAAAGAAGTAGTCCATAAACGCACGCAGCAGTGGCGGTCCCCAAATTTCCGCTGAGGGAGGGGCCGCCCCCCTCTCGGTCCGCCACTGGCGCACAATGAAAAGCCAATTTCTTTAACAATCAACTTCGAAGAGGACCGGAATCATAGCGGTTTATAATTCGCTCAGTATCTAGTCAGCTATGGCATCATTGCAGTACCGCGTGCTTTTTTGAGGGCCGCATACATCAAAGGCAGCGTTTGGGCAAAATTTTGAATGGTTTTTCTCGCTTACCTGGGCTTACTCTGACTGCTTTCATGCAGCTTAGGCTGCGTTCATACTGATCCCGAAGTTCGCGAACAGTTCCAGCACAACGCTCAGTTCGAGCGCTGTGCTGAAACTGTTCCCGAACTTCGGGATCAGCATGAACGCAGCCTTAGAAAGCACAGAATTGTCGAGAACGGGCTACTCTAGAGGCCTAATTTTGAGTTTGGATGCCTGTCGACAGGGTTAGGACGCAAAGTCTTTGTGGGACCCTATGTCCTGAATGTTTGCGATATGCGCACTCTGGCTTGTCAATCTGACTCCAGTTGATTCCAATCGCCGCTTTTAAAGCGGTTTTCTCTCTTTAAAAGCAAAACGGTGCACTGCCAGCTATGCAAGAACTTTAGCAAAACATGCGCGATTGTACTCTAACAAAGGAAGGACATTTGAAGACCGTGGCCATTCGGAATGAAACTTATATCATTAGGGGTACCTCGAGGCGCTGCCGTCGAATTTGTTTTCTGTATCTGCTAAGCAATTGTCTGAAAGAAGTTGTAGACTTTTTTCCTATATGATTGACCTGTTTTGGTGAGCAAAACTTTGAACATAACTCAAACTTCTTGTTTGGCTCCTTGGAACAAGATTTGAAGAACAGCGCAATTACTTTGAGCTAGAGTAGCCTCTCAGTTGCGTTCTTCCTAAAAAAATTCAGTATCAGTCATTCCAACTATGCTTTCACGTGCGAAGATACTGCGGAATAAGTCCATAATTTAATTCAGACAATCGTTTAAAGATAGCGAAAGCAAATTTGAAATTAGTGTTTTGACGCATTTAGTACATATGTCTCATAACGGATGGCCACGGTCGTCAAGTGCTCCATCTTTTGTAAGTTTTCAAATCTGGCCAGACGCTACCTTCAACATCTTACGAGGAAAGGGTGCTTGGTCAAAGTAGCGTTTCCATAGGAAATGTATATATGCTATCTTAGAGAGCATGGAACGCTGATTCCGAATCTGCTTTCGGTATCTGCAAAGCGCTTTTGTGATGGGAATTATGAGAGTCTTTTGAGGCAAAAATTTAAGGTCTTGATCAAGGCAAAACCAGTATTCAGATCTTTCCGGTGCTTGAAGGGAGTAACGACTAGCTCAAATTTATAAGAATGAAAAGTATTGACTGCAAGAAGCGCCCTGACAGTAATCGTGATCCCCTCAGGCCCACAGTCTACAGAACTGAAAGATTTTTTTTGTAGCGTCTCGAAATTTGTGCATCAAAAAATTTCCGTAAGTCCCCTCTCAGAAGCGCTTTGCAGATACCGAAAGCGATTCGGAATCAGTGTTCCATTCTCTATTAGACAGTTTACATTTCCTATGGAAACGCCACTTCAACCAAGTATCCTTCCCTTGTTAGAGTATGCAGCTCGGTTTCCGTAAACTCAGCTGCATATCTGAAGATCTCGTGTTTGGATTTAACGCGGTTTGATTATCCGCATTGTTTTTAGTATTGTACAGGAGCGTGAATTTGTGCAAACCGCATTTTCCAGCTTTTGGATGATCTCCTGATGAATCTCGGCGGCTCTTCCCTTCGGAGTCAATTTTTTTTCAAAATCCAATGGAAACATTTTAAATTATACTGATTATCTGATTCAACAGTGCTAACTAAGCACGTGTATAACAAGAATAAATAAACTCCAGAGAAGGAAAAATGCCCTTGAAGAAATGACGGTCGGAATCAAAGTTGTTAAATGCGGCTTGACAACATTTCGTCTTTGCTCAATACTTTCATGATAAACGGCAGAAACACTTGCGGATAATGAAAACTTTTTTGACCTGCATTTCCCACCAGACATAGTGCAGCTTTCTATTCATCCATAAGTAACCTACTATTTTTCACTATAAGCATATCGAAAAAAGGGGACAAGAATTGGTTCCAAGAGCGAGCTAAACGCTGTTTACGTCTTTTGTCTATGTGTCTGCCACAAATTCGAGAAACAGGCTGCAGCTAAGGTTTTCAACCTTGCATGACCTACGTTACCACCCTGTAGATAGGTTCACCATGCAAAATTTCGCGTTGATCCGACGCATAGACTGCACAAAAATGTTCTTCGGATGGATTTGCACGGTTTTGTTTACTGCGCCTGTTACTGGGTTTCTCACAAATCCATGGATTTGTTTGAGATGTAATGTGCAATACATCGTTGGCCCTAAATGTAATCACAAAACGAACATTGTGCGAAGGTAGCGCCAGAAACAACAGCGGAGCACACCAGTGGCGTACCTAGGATTTCGGCTCGGGGGAGGGGCGGCAAAAATTTTTTTAAAATGAAGGTGCGTGGCATCAGCCACGCACTCCGAAAAATTTTTAGGGGGGCTTCTCAAAATTTTTGCGGGCCCCCAACCCCTAAAATCTGGAAAAAGGGGGCGTGGCGTCAGCCACGCCCCCGAAAAAATTTTTTTTATTAGGCTAATTTGAATTTTTAAAAATTTTTAAAAATTATTTTAATTGCTTACAAAAATAAACAAGTCACTTGCACATTTTTATAACTCATGTAAGTAACTTTCAAAGATTTCGCGACCCGTTCTCGGAGGGGGGGGGGGGAAGCGCGCCCGAGATCCCTCCCCCCCGCGATACCCCACTGGAGTACACGGATCTTCGAGCTTCTATCTAAAAGGCATACTGTTAGTGGAACAGTATAGTGTGGACCTCGGCCAGCTTCCCATAGGTACCTGCGCGACGCATCCGCAACGCACGCCTTCAGCGCGCCTCATGTCGATGGAATTCCTTGCTTTTCTCTAATTTTCTTGTTTTTGTTTTACTATATTCCATCTATTTCAGGTATAAACAAATCGCATAACCGGTGACGAGGTTTCGCGTGCTCTACTAGGCCTGAGAGCTTCGGTCTTGAGTAAGTACTAGTCTTGTGTTTTTCCTTTTTTTCTGAGAGATTGAGATTTGAGGTGTGTTCTAAGAGAATGTCTCCAAAAGCGTTTTGCACTATATAAGAGTCCCGCTCGACTTGATTTTTAGAGTGTAGACAGTGATCAAGTCAAATTAAGCCTTTCGAGAAGCCGGCAGGGATTTGTTTACGGAAATATCCACATTTTCTGAGTTATTTTACCATTCTAATTTCTAAGTTTACGGAGAGAAACGTTTTGAGAATGCTGTTGTTCTTTTTTTGCTCTATGTTAACTTATTACCGTTTTCCATCGGTGCAAGTCTGAAATCTGCCGCCATTGATTGATTTTGAGGTACTAATGGAGGTTGCGTGCGTTTTAATCTTGCATACGTTTCTTTCGAAGCGAATTTACGGGTTTCCACTTCTTAGTTCTCTCCTATAGTGCCTAGATATGCTCTATTGCTCATAAGTGAGGTGAGAAGCATCAAGAAATGCACGCGCTGCGGGTGCGCTGCGGAGGTACCTATGGGAAACTGGCCGGGGTCCACACTATACGTCGCCTCTGCTTCGCAGAGATATCCGATAACTCATTTGTTTATGTCAGAAACATGTTTAGCATTGGTTCAGGTAATTACTACAATTATGGAATGTTCTCATTGACTTCAAAAAAGAAAATAAATTGATTACGAAAAGGAGGTCGGCCGATGGGGAACACCAGGAGATCCTATCAACGCTGGAATATGAGACTTGTACGACAATGCGCTCCTCTATATTTTTATGGTGAAGGTTAGTACAATTGTAGCTGTAGAATTTGGCCAAAATTGCGGGATTTTGGATTTGCATATTTGCGGAACAAGCTGGATTTCGCTATATCTTTTTTTAGAATAACTTTATTTGGAATTTGAGAGAAGATTTGGTTTTAGCTTGATGAGATGAATTTTTAATGTACATTATGCCCGCTTCCATGGTGACACGATAGACATTTGATAATACTTTGTTATTTTCTATGATTTCGCTTTTTTGAAGATAAATCCGGGTGAACCGCGAATAATGGGTTGGGTATTAAGTTTTAATTATCGGAAACTGTCAAAAAGTATTGTGCAGTTTTTATCCACCCTTACCATTGATATGGACTTTTTATCAGTTATTACTGCTACTATCATGATTTTGGTTCATTTTTGGTACGTGAAATAAGTAACGTAGAAAACGCTGCGGTAGTTTTTATCGTTTTATTTTTTAAAGTAAGTCATCTACAGGCTTCCGTTTACATTGCTTGGTGCAATTATTGGATCCCTCAGTGCAGCAATCGACTGGTTGCACATTGGTGCATCCCACTGCAACTCTCGCTAAAATCGCACTCTCGCTTGTGGCTGCCTTCAGGTCCAAACCTCGAAGCTGAAGCTCTGTACGTGTGTGAAAGATGAACATTGGGAAAAACACTAAATTCGATGATGCTAGTTGGTAAAGTAGCCCACTTGGCAAAAGCTACAATACCACTCTCAGAATGTGCAAAATTTCCGTGAATGCCGCGGAATTCCGGGAATTCCGTGACATTCACGGAAATTTTCTAAGAATTCCACGAATCCACGACCACGCAGCACCGTAACTTCATTCAGAATGAATACATTTTGAATCCGAAAGAGCATTGTGCTGAGCACATCAAGGCGAATCTTTCAATATGCAGCATGACCTTGATACTCCGATTTCAGTATTCGTGACTGTATTTGGAAAATTAGGTGAATCTGTGTTCTAGCTACGAAGCTGCTGATATTCAATTAAACAGCTAAAGAACATGCAACCGCGTGTTCCTTAGCTGCTCATTACATACCTCTTGGGCGAAGTGAACATAATATTTGAAATTAGAATGTTATATAACCACTCACGACATCCAATCGGTTGCTGCACTGAGGGATCCAATAATTGCACCGAGAAATGTAAACGGAAGCCTGTAGATGACTCAATTTGACAGACAAAGCGATGAAAACTACCGCAGCGTTTTTCACGTTACTTATTTCATGTACCAAAAATGATCCAAAATCATGATACTAGCAGTGATAACTGATAAAAAGTCCATATCAATGGGTGAATAAAAGCACAATTTTTTTGACAGTTTATAATTAGAACTTAATACTCAACCTATTATTCGCAGTTTTCACCCGGATACATCTTTAGAAAAGCGTAATCATAGAAAATAACAAATATCAAATGTCTACCGTGTCATGGAAGCGGGCGTAATGTATACTAAAAGGCTCGCCTCATCAAGCTGAAGCCAAATCTTCTCGCAAATTCCGAATAAAGTTGTTTCAAAAGAAGATATAGCTGAATCCAGCCTGTCTCGCAAAATCCGCTAATCCCGTAAAACCGCGAATCCCACAAATATCGCAAAAATTCTAAAATCCCGCGAATCCCGAAAATCCCGAATTTTGGCCAAATTTTACCGCTACAACTGTACGAGTACCCTCTGCCTCAACAGGATTGGGGCTGATGGGTGGAGTTCAAGTCCTCACGGCCGCCTCGCTGGCTCTGCAATTCTTTCACGATAGTGTTCCCTATGACTGAAGCTCCGCCTTTCCCAAGCTCTTGGTGAGGAATCAATTAGAGAGCACGCTCTTAAAAGGATGCACCGCGGCAGCCTAAGGCGCCATTCCTGTTGAATCAGAGGGTTCTTATGAATGGATAGACAGCGTGAAAATCAGATATCTAGAGCTTTGAAATATGAAGTTCTCTTTCAATTTGCAACCTCCTACCCGGCGGAGATGTTTGCATGTGGCTCAAATGTGATAACATGAAAAGAGAGCAGAGCACAGCCAAGCATAAACACCTACCTCGTTTTCGTCAATCCAACCAGACACTGCCAAGGCACAATGAAGACTCAATCCTTCAGAAAGAGACTCTATCGTAAACTCTTCAATGGCTCCAACCCGTTTGCTCATCTGTAAAAGAGCGCTTCAGTAGATTCAGTTGTAAAATATGCAAATTACAGAGCAAATTCAGCTACTTTGTAGCCGCCTAGACCGGCTCCGGCCACTCCGAAAGTGGTCCCAAGGACAGCTGCCCCTGCGGTGGTGGCGATCCCCGCTGCTCCTGCTGTACCGATAATGGCACCTGCACCAGCCGCCACGAGTGGAGCAGCCAATCCACCTGTCAATCCTGAAAGCTAATATCAGAGACTCAGCACATGTCTAGCATATTAGTAGGACGTCTTTACCTATAAGAGCTCCTACCACCCCTCCCGCAGCGCCAACAAGAAGATATCGCTTGATCTTTCTAATTCGTTGATTTTTTTCGCGTGCAAGTCTGGAGACTCTGAGAAGGGAATGAGATGCCAATGAAAAAGAAGTTTGATAAAGCGGCATGCTCTGCTTCGACCTTCAGAACAAAAAGCTTACTTTTCTTCATCTTCAGTTTTGATAGCAGGTAAATTGTCAAACTCGATTTTCGAATGGAAATTAAAACGGGTCTAAATACTTACTTGGACTCGATAAAAGTTTGTTGTACCAGAGTTGATGCAAACGAGTCTTCCACCTGCACAAATAAATTTTATCACCTCTATTGGGAGAGCAAGGTACCAACATTTTCAAAATCGTTCCATACCACACATAGAAGAGTTGAGAGATGACGTAGATACACTCGATATCTAGAGTCATAGTTTCCTCAAGTAATTATTATAACAATTTCTACGTGCTTTTTTTGAACCGAAGCACTCGGTGGACTTCGTGAATAATTTTTATATCGAACAGAGTTTATGGTGGATCTTCATTGTCTGACTTTCGACAAGTATCGTATTGTTCAAAGTTTTGAAAGAAAATCGCGTTTTGTATTTGCCAGTGTTCACAATAATATGCCTCCCTTTTCGGCAATCAGATCCTGTCTGCACAAAATTCGGGAATGAAAGAAGCGGATGTTTGCCTAAGGCAAGTGATCTCTTGCCTTTCATATCATTATGTTTACTATAACGGCAAACTATATATGGTTTTGGCTCACTGGGCAGCCCTTAGCGATGCGTCACATTCCTGCAGGCTATTGGCAGCCGCTGTGTTTGAAGGCTTATGATTCTAGGATTGTTTTCCAGTACGTTCTACCTAAATGATTAAACGCCGCAAGCAAAGGCTTCAAATCATTCATTCCCCCGAGAAGACGATACCGAAAGTCAAAGAAAACGATAGTCGAAATATCAGGTAAAAAAGATTCACCAAGAAGACTTGCGAAACACAAAGTCATTTACAAAGTCTATCATTTGATCAGATACTCAGACAATTGCATCGAAAAGTTTGTCTCAACGCGTGTTACATGGCGCGCCGCGGCCCATGCGTATTTGACCAGGAACGTCACGGCCAAAGTTGAATTTGGGAAGCGATTATCGGGAGGGTCGCGGCCCAACCACCTCAATCGGCGCGCCGCGGGTCTTATCAGAGGCCGTACTTCTTACATGCTGCAGGTTAAGGAGCAACCCGCGTGAGGTACGCCGCAGCGATGAGGTTACTCTAAGTGTTTATGATGCTGGCTGTCGCTTCTCAGATCAGAGTTAAGTTTTGATGCTTATGAAATAAAACACAGCAGTTGGATGAGTGTTATCGACAACACTAGATGATGTCGACAGATGAGTTAACAACTTGTTCAATTTGCACTCAAGTCGTCATCGTGAAAAAAAAAAGACTAAATAGTTCTTCACACTTCCTAGACCTCACAAGCATGCTAATCGGGTCAACTACAGGCGCTCAACGGGCACCTACAGGATGCTCCGCGATCGCTTATCGGGTCTAATATGGGTTTACCGAGCAGTTCGCGGCATGGATGATTGGTGGTCGAGCAAGCACCCGCGAACTTCCCGATGCGATTGTCTGAGTAGTCTCGCCAACAGAAATAAAGTGGTACCTGAGTTGATAAATGCTAATAGAAGACTGCTGAGCACAGTTATTGTTCCATTTTGAAAAACTAAAGGGTCGTTTTTGATAGTAGTGATCAAGGCAACCAAGTCCGGTAGGTCTTCCGCACTCTGTGAAGATAAAATTGCTTGCATTTTGGGTGATGTGTGTGATAATTTCTTGCTTCATCACATAAGATTTAAAGGGTAGAGTAAAGATGAAAAAATTTTCATTGTTTCACGTATATAGAAGGCACATTCGTATAGTTTGCAAGAAGTTGCAGTTCACAAATAAGTCGCACTTATTTTGCTCGCAACATTCACCTCGTACATTTGTTTCTTACCAACGGACAATGATAAACATGTTATCCGATATTTGTCAAACAGGGACCCCATACACACCTCCCGTCAGTGCAGCTCGACTGGGGTGGGCCAAACTTGAACCTATGGCATCTTATAAGAGAAGGATACCAACAACATTTTGCGACTGAAAACGAGGTGTATATGCTAGACGCTTTATTGAAGACTAATTGCAAACTCTTCCTTTTTTGAAGAGCTGCTTTCCGAAAGAAGTTATGCGTTTGAATGTCCAAATTTGTCAAGCTTTAAGTGGCGAGGAAAACGTAGAAAAGCACCCTAAAAGCGGGTAACCAAATTTGTATAAGTATATTGACTGCATGGAAAGAGCAAAGCTGTTGGAAATTTGCTAAGTGTTGTTTTAAACGTTGCCAATTTTAGGCCACTCAATGCCTGAAAATCCGGACATTCAAATCAAAACTTCTTTCGGAGAGTTGTTCCGCAAAAAGAAAGCAGATTCGGAATCAGCATCAAGAGACGCACCTAGTGCTTTTTACATTTTGACTATAATCGTCAACTTATGTTGGTATCATTCCATTTCTCCTTCGCCTTGCACTTCAGCAAACTGGAGTATAAAAGTGCTGTTTTCGTTTGGCCATTATCGAATGTTGTTGTTGTATTAAAAGCTTGATCTATGTCACACATGAACTTAGATTACACTGCTCAAGCAGACTCAATAACCTGAAAAAGATTCGCAACATTATGCAGTACAGTTTGACTCATGCGCAACGGCAGGGATCTGTGGAAGTATCTACGGAAGTTAATCAGGTGAGGGATCATTCGTTTGTCGGTTAGTGACACAGACGGCAAATTCGTGATTATGTTTCAGAAACTGGACGGCGAAGCCACCGAGCAACACCTCTCAGGCACATCACTTTATCGCCGCACGACTGAAAAATAGTTTCTTTCGCAGTAAAGACGACTAAATCATCTCTGAAAGATATTCGGTAAAAAGACGGGACTCAAAAGTTGCTTAGTAGGTCCAAACTGAATGATCCATGCTGTCTTATATTTTATCTTATATATAAAGCTGAATGTCTGTTTGTCTGTATGTATGTCTGTCTGTCTGTCTGTCTGTCTGTGTGTACGTATGTTCCGAATAGAAAATTCCATTTCTGAACCGATCCGGACCAAACTTGGCACACATACACTTCGGGCCCCGGCAGGTGTCATAGGCTCTTTTCGTTATCGATCGATATCGATTTTATCGATTTTTTGCAAAATTTGAGCTACGGGGCTGGGAGTTGGCACAGGGGGGTAATCGAGCAGTGGACTGTGACACCCGCCGGGGCCCGAAGTGTATGTGTGCCAAGTTTGGTCCGGATCGGTTAAGAAATGGAATTTTCTATTCGGAACATACGGCGGAGCCGGGTATGCCAGCTAGTAGCCTTATAAAAGCACATAAGATTCCTGCATACAACAGCAATCTATTTCTGCCGCAGAGTACGAAATCGAACCTATCATCAGCCGTGTCACTGGACCAAGTGACAGGATATCGTGGGTTCTGACCAAAATCGTTACCGAGCTCTTGTGCAAAATACCCTCCCACTTTTGCAACATCAGGGCAATTACTTGAGGAACTGCGACAACTACTACATTTGGCCGTAACTCTACTAACGAGTCATTCGATGTAAAATCACGATACACAACAATGATGCCTTACAGGCTTTCTGAGATGCTCGATGCACATGTGTCTGGTGTCATGATGACTCAGTGAAGACTTAGTCATGTGACACTAGATACAGACTCAGTGAAGCGCGGTTATGACTCTCATCAAGGAGTGTCTCGTTTGTAACGTCTTCGAGTGGGCGAATACTACTCGCAATTAAGGGATTGGCAATGGGCGAAAATTAACACCTGCCCTTGCTATCCGCTTTATGAGCAGAAAAGAAGAAACAATACTGTGTAGACGCCGCTTTTGTACTGCCGATACATTGGCTATTGGTACATTATAAACAGGGCCTGGCACGCGTTGGTCCGGAGCTTTTTTGGAAACGAAGTCCCCCATGACTTCGCGAAAATTTACGAAGTCCCTCTCGACGTAAATTACTAGGGGAACCCTTATTCAATCAAAATAACAATAAAAAAGCGAAAAAAGCGCATTTTGAATTATCTAATATAACAAAAAAGCAAAAAGAAAACATTTCGAGTTGATTAAAGGCTCTGTTATTGGGTAAAGTACCATCTTAGTGCTCGGAATGTCCGAAAACCTCCTAGGCCAATCAAATCTGTGGCCTCAACAATCCGGCGATGCATTTTTCGCCACATGTTTAGAAGAGACCACATGTGATTGGAGCGTGATATTTATCAACGCGTAATTACACTACTTTTGGCCCGAAAAGAGAGGAGCGGCAGTGGTTTGATTCGCTCTCTTCACTATATGATAGATTTTTAACCGTTTTAATCGTCCAAATCAACAATGTCCAAAACTTATGTGAACTCTCCAATATTTATGCTCCGAAGCAACCCTTGGTGTTGGTCTAGAAACCAACAAAATCGGAAACGGATATTAGGACACATAAGTTTTTGAACTTTTTACATAACACAATTGGAGTAATATTGTATACACATAGCTCAAATTCGGAGCCTGATTGTTTGTGCGCTGTAAACAAGCCATTGGTTTGTTTGAGTCTTGCGTTTGAAATTCGCGCGTTTGCGAAAGAACACGTTCAACTCATAAAACCTGAAATGTTCGTCGTTTTTTTTTCTGGCGCTTCCTCCAGGACCTTATAAAAAACGATACCTCCGTTGCCTCTAACTCCAAAGACGAAGTCCAGTTTGACCCCAAGCCATCTGTGCTGGGCCCTGATTATGACTTCAACACAGTCCGAAATGGACCAGTCCTTCAAGATGTTAATCAACAATCGCAGTACATAGGTTTTTTAGGGAGAAAAAAATGGTTGGCTGCGTACTTAAACATATAACGATGGCAAATGGCGCAGTACGTGTAAAATAGTATCGTATGACTCAAAAAATCATTTTGCACGCTAAATTTGCCCACCCGGTCACCATGGAACGAGCGGTTCTGCGAGATATGTTTAAGACCGCGATTAGTGTAATGGCGAAAGCTAAAAGCAACAGTCCTCTCACAATGGTGTGCGAAAAAGCAGCCTCTAGTGGCTACTCTCCTTAGCAAGGTCTGGATTTTCTAGAAGAGGATTACGTTAAAAATGCGACCGAACTAAAGCTACGATTCGTTTATGCCTCCGTTTATATCGGAGAGGCCAACAAACGCGTTTAACACGTTTCGGACCGCGGAATCGCGCGCGGCGAAAAATAGCGTGCTTTCAGCCGATAGCCTACAAAGGGACCTTATTTCGCAGCCTGTGGGCCACATCTGTAATCAGCATGTCAGATAACCTCCATACCCAAAGTTTTGAGTGAATTCGAAGTGTTTGAATTTTGTCGCTTGAGGGAGACTTTTCTGCTTTGACCAGGAGTAAGAACTCAGTTTCAAAAAGTATTCAAAAGTATCTATGTTGTACAGTCGAGTAGATTTAGCGGTAAATATAGTGTGCTTGCACAGAAGGTGAAATGCGGTGAAATTTGCGCGTGAACAGGTAGCCACGTCAGTACCGCGGGTATCTTGCGCGCGCAATTGGCCGGCGTCACAGTCGAAACTATTTCTTCACGCGCCAATTTTACCGCATTTCACGTTCTGTGCAAGCACACTAAATTTACCGCTAAATCTACTCAACTGTACACGGTACACATCATTATTAAAACTAGGGTTTTTCTCTTTGAAATCAAAGCAAAGAAAAGTTGCCACGTCGCACGCGTCGTTCGCATTGCCGCATTTCTTTGCGACTGTTGTTCAATTTGTCCTCATGTCTATTGAACAAGCATACGAGGCACAGCTCTACAGAGTCATTTGAAAAGTAGGAGTTTAGACCTTTGACTTAACAACTTTGGACTAAACGGAAACCTCCTGTGAACGCCAGAAAGGTCCTTTAAAGCAGCGTGCTGCACCATGTGCAGCACCGGTCCGAAACGTGTTAAACAACATTTGACAAAAGCTCAGCTAGACCGAGATGTTGTCTTTGAAAACATTCCACCAAAAAACATCAGCAGCTGATATGTAGAAGAATGCACGATGCAACTTGTATCACACAATATTGCTTTACATGCCCTAGTGGTAAGATGGGAGATTGCGCTAAGTTCGAGACCTTTTACGAAATAGATGTCTAGATTGCCACTCTACCTTTATCGGGGAAACAGGCCGACCTTTTAGCACTCGTGTAACGAACCCTAGCTACAAAAAACGAGGAAGCATGACGAGCCTGTCTGGAAAACATAAAGCAGATGGCCACGATGGTACGTGTCTCCATATTAGGTGCACAATCTTAACCTGTGCAAGTAAAATTGCTTCTTGTAAAGAGCTAAAGGCATTGTTCATCCTGTCACGGGAATTTAAAATAAAAACTAAGAAGAAAAGGATACCTGCTGACCGTGGCTTTTGAAATGAAACATACATTGAAAGCATCTTGAAGCGCTGATTCTCTACCTTCGGTATCTGCTGTGCGCTCTTCCAAAAGAAGTCACGAACATTGCTTGCCACCAAAATTTGCACTATGTTGATGAGAGCATTCATAAATATTGTTAGAATGTACATTTACGCACAAAAGAGCTTCCGAACGAGATAAAGCTTTAGATTCAGCTCAGGAATTGTCTCCGATATATCAGAGTCCATAGTCAGAGTCATTCAGTCTAAAAAGCCTAAGTCCTGACGATTGAGTGCCTAGATCTCGTGAAATTAATATGAAGTCCCAATTTTGTATAGAGAGCCGCACAGCAGGTAATGAACGGAATCAGCGTTCCAAGATGCATATTGGTATATAATATCTGATCCAAGACGAAAACGGTTACCCAAATAAGCTGCTGAGCGCATGCTAGACTATAGCGCAAACGGCGCGCGACAAAAGCTTGCTCGTCGCGTGACTCAATAGCTAGTCGGGGGGAGGGGGGAGGGGGGAGGGGTCAGGGCCCGGCACAGATCGTCTGGAAGCAGGCTACACTTCGTTTTTGGAGCAAACAGCAAAGGGGATATCGTTTTTGACAAGTCGGAACCGCGCACCAAGAATAAGCGCCATTTAGTCGAGCACAAGCTTTCCGGACAAGTTATCACACGATTGACATGCTCTATCGTGCATGGCGAACAGTGCTCGCAATATGAAAGCAAGGCTCTTAGATAAACGACTTGCTTGTTTGCAGCGCACACAGAAGCATATGACACCAAAATTGAACTGTATGCATAGAAAATTATTTGCGAAAGTATAATGTAAAAAGATTTGAAAACTAATGTGAAGTAATACCTTTTCCAAAGATCGTCTCCAGACGGCCATGGAGCATGTATATTCGTCACTTCACATAAGTCGGATCTTTTTAGCATGGACGGATTCCCCGGTTAAAAATCTATCCCTGAGCATGAAGACATTTTCATATCATTGCCTATCCTTTGTTTTTTGCCTTCATTTTTTCTCGTTTTGTTAAATATCGCGCTCTAATGCCAAAGTCTTGTGCATGCATAGTATTCAGCTTCAATTTGGATTTTCACCCTTTTCTTACGTCTTTCTTTAGTAAATCTTTCTTGTTTTCATCTTCCTCTAAGCAGGTAGGTCAAAGGGGACTTCCGAAAGTCGGGGGAGACTTCGTTTTCAGAAACGCTACAAACCGACTCGTGCCGGGCCCTGAGAGGGGTGCCTTGGGGTCCAAACACAGCTTTTCTTGTAATCTAGACCGTATTCCCATATATTCCTAATTCTTCTCAACGCTTTCATTTAGAAAACTGCTGATCACAAACTTTACCCGCTATACAAGCTTTCATCATTTTTGCATGGGTACTACGATCATCGTTCACCACTGTATGAATACGCTATGATAATGCATACATCGTCACCCTTCTTGTGCCTTTTTTCTTTCTTTGGTTCTTCGCATGCAGTTATTTCTCCGGTCATTCTTCTCCAGTATGTCTTGATTTCTACGCATTCGCGCGCTCCATGGTTAGCAGTTGCCTGCGCGCCGGTCTCGCATACGTTTAGCTTTTTTGCATGACCGCCTCCGTCATGGATCAGATATTACATCTCACTGCAAAAGGCCGCAGTCACCAGATACTCTTATCCTGTAAGAATGAACAACTTTCAGTCACAAGCGCTCTCTTGCCGTTTATTCCATACTGTCAGTATACAGGGTGTCCCAAAATAATGTGCACACTGTTTGATTTTGAATAACTCTCTTATTATGAGGTCTTTTGAGAAGCGGTAAGCGCCATTTTGTAGAGCTGGCTTCAACTTAGATTTACAGTATAGAATCACCGACTGCTCTTCATTACTGTAGGATTGCGGTAGAGACTTGGAACATACGGTGTCACTTTGGAAAAAGCTGCCGTTTCAAACATTTTCAAAAAGATGTGAAAACTTGTGTAATAGGGTTTTTAGGAACGCTGAGTTCAATACTCAACTATTTTCAAGATTACGAAGCTTTCTAAATGGTGTAACCGCACATTTTAGGAACATTGAGAAAATGGCCGTTACTGCTTACCTCGCATAACTCTTCAGCGAAGCATCATAATAAGTTAGGAACTCTACACTTACAATCAGCAACTCTAATTGGCCTAGTGTAAAAGTTTTCAGGCTGTTTTGATTCCTTTCTGAGGCAAAATATGGCCTTTCATGGCCCAAAACCCTCTTTCAAGTTTCTACCGTAATCCTACAGTAATGAAGAGAGATCGGTGATTCGCTCTAAACTGCAAATCTAAGTTGAAGCCAGCTCTACAAAATGGCGCTTACAGCTTTTCGGGAGACCTCATAATAAGAGAGTTATTCAAAATCAAACAGTGTGCACATTATTTTGGGACACCCTGTATAATACCTCAAGCAATTCAAGCTGCTTCGCATTGGGGCAGCTCATTTATCAATGATTTATCACATTGAGTATCCTACGCTGCTGTTGTGCTATGTTAGTGAGATTGGCGAATTTCTTTAAGAACGTTCACTCGTTCACTTTGGAGAGATTGAACAAGCAGTGTTCTAGAGAGGTCTGGCAGTGCACGATTCAAAATATAATTGAGACTTTTTTAGGTCTCTGAGGAAGGCACTGCTGTCAAAACGTCAGGCTAAGTAAAGACTTCTACCAAAGCTGATTGGTCCATACATATCATAGAACCATGATATACGCATGTTCCCTTGGAAATCTGTTGGGAGCGAAAAAAAATGACATAAATGAATAATTTGGTATGATAAGCTTTCGAAAAATCAAGGAAGAAAATGAATTTTCCAAATTTGAGCTCGTGTGTATGTTACCGCCAGCCACACTGCTTGAGTTGTATGGGCGATAAATGTTCTACCTCTAAATGTGTTTTGATCGTTCGAACGGCTTTTTCGGAGATTTCCAAATGGCTTACAACAATCTCGAATGCTACCTTTGAGAAGAATCTGAATGCTGCACATTGTTATGCCCATTTATTTCTAAGGCAATTTCTTACATACTACCGGGTTCCTCGTCATCCCAGAAATCAAGGCGAAGCACGCAAGCTGAGAGACTGGCTAAAGCAAATCTGGTTGCTGGTTGAAGCTCCGCCACTTTCAGTTCCTGAGGTGATGTGCCCGTCACTGAAGGTTGGCGTAAAACAATGATGGAATGTTTGTTAAGGAACACAAACGCACCAGATGGAAGGCAATTGTTTGATGGCGATTTTGGCGGGAATTTTCCTTGCATGAGTGCTTTGGGTGACGATGTTAGGCTTGTTAGGCTGCACAATCCACTGCAGAAAAGTGTTTTTTCTTCGAATGCACAGGCGATATCCAAATATTTAGACACCAAGAACATTGCAACAAAGGTGGAAAGATCAATTTTGAACGAACAGGCTTTCAGGCGTTTACTAAATCTACAAATGAATAAAGTAGCAGGAGACTTTTTTCGTCAAATTTGGAATTTCAGGAAGTTAACGAAAGTTAGCAATGATTGGCATACCGAAGGTAGAGCTTTGATTACAAGCTCTCTACGACAAGAATGAGCTTGAACTCACTCTGACTTGTCTTTTCTGCTTTCTTACTTTGAAGTAAGATAATATGAAAAAATCGTGCTGATAAGAGATTCGATAGAAACTAGCTATAATTACATCTTTCGCAAAACCAGACATTAATATCATGAACAAAGATAATAGGGATATCAAGACATCGTGGGGAATCGGGTTTTGGCCTTCAATCTATACAGGGATTCTGGAAAACCCCAACTTTCTGTTGTACCCTTTGATTCAACGGTATTTGCGACTGGAAGGCAACGCTCGGCCCACGACGCCTGCATCTCCCTTGCAAGCGTGCTTTCTGAATATTCTCTAGCCTTGATTGGGCCTCGAAGACCCACCCTCCAGCCGCCGATCCCGTTGAATCAAAGGATAAACGAGAGCTGCGGAAGTTTTCAGCTTTGACAAGAAACTTTCAAGATTTATTGCAGAAACGTATCGACTAGAATGTGCGTAGACTGAAACATGAAGCAAACGTACATACATACCGATTTATTACTTACTTATTTAAATTCAAATGAGAGTCTTCACGTTGGATGCAGGCCCTATCATCGGCGTCTCTCCCTCGCTTCTGACATTCACGATCTCCCTTGTAATTATCGGTGGCTGCATCTGCGAGTTTCAGGTACGGAAACGGTATTTAGCTGATTTACTAGGTAGTCCTTCTATCGGACAAACAGTCTGCCCATGTCTTTGGTGGCCTTCCTCAAGGTGTTTTGCTTCGCGAAAAATTCAATTGAAATATAGGAACCAGCGGCCTTTTGATATAAGACAGGTATGATCCAGCTTGGAAAGCTGATTTCAAATCTGCCCTCAATAGCTGCATCGGGCATGTCTACCCAAAACTTGCATGATTTGGAGAACCCCGTGATCATGGAATTCTTCGCTTGTCGCACTACAGAAAAATCTCAGAGAGGAATCAGGATTGCGTTAAGCATTAATAGACTCTTATTCTAGGAGAATACCAGTTGTTGAAACTGCTTCTAAGGACTTCCATCAAAAAAACTATTCGAGGAATCCAGTTAATGCGAAAACAAGCGGCGAACTTCAAAGAGATTGCGTGCATGCATATGGTTTGCCTAGCTTGACCTACAAAAAAGGTTCTAGCCTAAAACGCACCTATTTTTCTCGCAATTTTCTAATCCGATATTTCCAATCCGATATCCGTGCAAATTCTCGCATGGTAGGATACTGATTGCCGAATGTGAAATGCTTTTATGATACTGAAGTAAATTACGGAAATTCACTAAATGCACAAATTTTGACACATGATAGAACAAATCATACTCATTCAAGTGAGACTCATATAAGGCCATCTGGCCGTGTAGTAATTTTTAACTTTGCTAAGACGCAAAGTTACCTCACTTCGAGCTTGAACGTAGTGTCTTCGCAGTAAAACATATGGGGCCGACAAAGCATCGGTGCTGCACTTTGGCACGACTACCGCCAAAATCAGCACAGCTTGTAGTTTTGTAGTATCAGGGTTTTGGGTCAGGAGATACATTTGTGCAGTTTTGAGTAAGGAATACTTGCTACTTACTTTTTCGATTATGAACTTATGTTTTTTAATCACCATGTGGAAGAGTTTTTGAGCTCTACATTCATGTGCAATCTACCCGATTTGAGTTAAGACCAAAAAATGATTTACTGTTTTTGCTGCTCCAAAAAATCGCACCGTCTTCGAATGTGAAAGACTTCCGCACAAATATATCCCTATGAACAGCTTGAAAAGCTCTTCCATATCATTTGCTATCTGCTCAAAGAGAATGATAACAAGAATAATAATAACAACGCTTCGAGAAATGACAAGGGATGTCCAACTCAGTCCGATTTCTTCGAGGCGACCTTCCAAGAATTCTGAGAGCAGCGTTAACGCGTTGCCAAAATGATAGGTGAAGTCGACTTGAACAAGTGACGTTTAACTAAGCTGTTACTAACAAGGAAAGCTACCTAATTTAGCTCGGCCTTTTGATGACATATATACATTCTGAATCAGCTTTAAACGCTGATTCCGAATATGCAATTTCTAGCTGCCGAGCACCATTCCGGAGCGAGTTATGGGCTTCTTCCTGCGCGAAATTGGCATACTCATCGACTCACTTGTACCACGGCATTATCACCTAAGTGTTAATACACCTGCATTTAGTTTCTTTTTAGTGAGAAAAGATTGGATTTGTCTTATTTCAATTTCTCAGCACCTTTTTCTTGCATATTTCTATCTACAAGGAGTCTTGCTGTGTCTAATAGCATGCTAATTTTGCGCAGGAAAAAGCCTATAACTCGCTTCGGAATGGTGCTCGGCGGCTAGGAATAGCATATTTGGAATCAGTGTTTAAAGCTGATTCAGAAAATATGTGTCCCTTGCCGAGAGGCCGAGTTAAGTTAGGTAGCATTCTTTATAAGTCTTAACAAGTCCGTAACTTTTCATTTTCTGATTTTTCTAGGCTCATTTTTGAAATGGTATAGAGGTCGTGTAAGGTACAAACCGCTCTCTTTTTCATGACAAGTTAGAGGAATTGCAAAATCTTTTTCTTGAAACTAGTGAAATTTCAAGATTTATAGGCTTATAAGCAAGTAAGTCGATCTCAACCTGTATCAAGCACAACGATCCGAAAATTGTATGCCAGTTGTTGCTGGTGAATAACTTTAGCTCAAGAAAAAAGAAATTGAATTTGAAGACAGATTTGGCGTCTCTATAAATTTAAATGAGTCGCTGTACGCAAGGCTGCTTGGGGTCAAGCGTCCATGACTAAGAAGTCGGATTCACAGAATTCGCCGAAACTCTGCATAGTGGAGTTATTTGACCTCCAAACACGAATACCATATTCATTTGTCAAATTAACGCCTCTTCTCTAGTTCAGGATGAGAGCCCACAATGTAAACCTATAGTAGCCCTACAAGGAGTAATCTAAAGTACCTCTACAAAAACCCCTATCATGGAATTTAATATTGTTTTCTTAATCAGCATGTCAGATAACTCCCCTATGCCAAGCAGCTAAACTTGTCATGATCTACAATTTTTTTCCTATATCACAGGCTTACCGTGACCCCCACTGCGACGTCAGATTTTGACAGATATGTAGCTGCCCTGTAGCTTACGTCATAGTATACATAGAGGCAAAAACTGAGTGTGTCATGTCCATGGAGAGGAAAGTTGAAATACTAGTTGCAAAACTCAGATAATAATCTGATAACAACTGCCCAGTTATTGAGGTCATTCCAAAATTAAAAAAGGCTGTCCTACTACTTTCCGATAACACTAATACAATGTTGTAAAAAATGTTGCACCTCATATGTTGACATCAGCCTAGTAGACATACTGTTCAATGTGTGCTTCATAGACATAGCTGCAACGAAGAGCACCGCGTCTATTAAGCGAACCGAAAGAGGTGAGAAGTCATAACACTTCTAAAATCATCATGAAATGCTGCATTCAGCAGTGGCAGTCGCAAAAAATGTGTAGGAGCGGAAGACAGGACACAATTCCTATGAAACGCAGAGTCGTGAATTTCCTCAATCTTTCGCAAACACATAATCCCATTTGTTGAAAACAAAATGGAAAACAGACGAGATTTTCAAAAAGAATGGATCTGCAAAATTGATAGGACTTTTTAGTTGTTCAAAAGCAAGTGAAGCAGCTTGCTGCCATGATTATGGTATACCAGTGATATTTGTCACGAATCCGTGGTGCCACCAGTTCCTTTCAACAGAAGTTGCGATAGCCCCGTTTGCCGCAGTAAGTTACGCCTACTGTAATGGACAGACCCTACCTGCTGCTTCGCATTGCTAACCTGTAGGCGAAGGTGTACACTTAACCGCGCAAAGAGCAGCGGATCGTTTTTTGAACCTTCAATAATCAACCTGTTGTCGCCAGGCTTGTTAATCTAGTCAGCTCCCGCAAATGTTTTCAGGCAAGATGTTCCTCTCTCTTAGCTTTGTCGGGGCAAAAGCCATTGCAGGGATTGTGCGCAAAGCCTTAATGCGGGGAAATTCACGGTCGTGCGAACAACCTACAACCTTTGGTCAGACTAGATATGCGCCTGAGAGTTTGTTGGTAATGTAAGAGTTAATGTCACATATCTGATGAGTGATCGACACTTTATTGTTGTATTTTCTCATTCGTCTCATTCCCTGTTATAATCTTGCTTATATACTGCGCTCCTCACTCCTTTGTTTGCAGATGCCACAACGACAGCGTGCCGAGCAACCACGAAGAAGGAGGGGCCGGGTCCAAGCGAGTAGGGACATCGAGCCATTAGTCTTTACGTCTCATATATAGTTGTATTTTGTGTTATTTGTTTTCTCGGATTATCTTGGAAGTTCATGTACTTTGCTTGTAAGCCTTTCCAAGGTTTATGAAATTTCTACTTCAAAATCTTTCCCAAAGTCTAGAACCAAAAAGTTTACAAAGTTTATTATAGGCCCTTCCATTTTGTGTTTGTTCAAAACGCATGATTCCTCCATTCTCAATTATAGATAAAATCCACATTCAGTAAATCCTCTGGGAACTGCTAGTTGGGAATAACGCTTTTCTCCTTTCGCTTTTTCCACATTCTTCACAACCACGGCCCTTACTGCCGCCGTTATCGGACTCAAAAGAGGAGCATGTCAACTGTGAATTCAAACCTTTAGTTTACATTCAATCTTACTTTCGGGTTGTATAGCTTATAGATCAGGTGGGCAACCCACTGCGTCTACCTTTCCAAAATAATGAGCCTTCGGAAGGTTTCCTTTTTCCTTCTTTTAAATAATAAGTTTTATCTCACAATCAGTGCAACAAACAGCAAAAATGCCAACGCTGCCAATACCACCCGTACCACATAGGACGGCGACAACTGACTGGCGGTACTCTTCTCAACCTTTCCTGGGGTGGGGACGAGTTCTGACGACAACAGGTATCCTACCAAGTGACTCGTTTGCATTCGTAGGTGTCATGTGGTTGGGGAGAGAGGGGGGGAGGGGAGAGGTTTAGAAAACCTGCAGAGAGATAAGCTGCGATGCTGTCAATGACTCATCTTTGAACGCGTACCTATCAAGAAGAACGAAACTGTTATAAGCACTCTTAGAGATGGCCACATCCCTAAGCTATGAGCAGAGTAAATAGGAAATCGATTGAGATAACGCTGTTAATGATGCTGCACATTTCAACGAACAGTATAAAATCGAAGATGATTCGAAGAAATTTTCTGGATATGAATGCAAAACAAGAAGGATGATGAGCAACGAAAGGAGGTGCAGACAGAAGATATATTGTCGCTCAGATTTTATGTATTCTGAATGTTTCGCACGCACCCCATGGAATATTTGGAGTGCTCATCTTCGATGATTTCGCGGTTAAAAATTCAAACGAGATTTGAAGTGAGATGCATTAGATTCGCTTGCGCAACATAAGGCAATTTGTTCAGCACAATTAATTAATGTCAGCTTTTCTTCGTAATAAATCTCAAGCAAAAACTTATTTGACTTAGAGTAAGCTAAAAACGAAAAGGCAAGTGGTTTGATGTAGCTGTAACGTTCAGGGTTCACCTTCCTTGCTATAGAATGGCAGCTGGTTTCCAAAGCACATACTCTACAAACTATTAAAATCACAAAGTTTTTGATCTAACCGATGTCAAAGAAAAGATGGAGGAAGAGCGAAGAAGCAGTCGAGGCAAGCGTTGAGTGCAAATAATACTGTGCTATCATAGTCAACGTCTTGTTATCATTGGTGCATTTTGATAAATTCAAAGGAATCAGAGTCAAGACGATTTCGCACTTCGTTCTTTTTCACTCACAATAAGAGGCCTAAGATACGTAGATTGTGATGCAAGTGCTAGAAGACCAACCATTTATCATTTCGAATAAAGGCTTTTACGAGCCATAATGACTCTTTGCATGAGTAGTCCAAGCATGTGTCGTCACGACTGTTTCGTTTACTAGAATCAGAGTCAAGACGATACTACTAGAAACTACTAGAAACGCGTATGGCCTAAGGCATACCTCACGCGATCCGGCCAAATCGCCACTTTCACGCAACTTGGCGATTTGCCAGATTTCCATAAATTTATCGTGCGCACTTCTCGGACGCATATTTGGGTAGCTTGTGTAGGCTGTTGCAAACAGAGCAAGTTCTGACCAAAGGCAGCGCATTAACGACGAATTACGAAGAGTCGCTGTCGTTCCAAATCGCGCAGCGACCGGAATCGCGCGAGGTATGCCTTAGGCCTATAGCTAGATTAGTAACTTCACAAATAAGTTTTCTACACAAGCAAGGGGATCTTACTTTTTGGCTTAGAACAGGAATCGGAGCGAGCCGGCTAGTTCCGCGTATCCGAATGATATCAGAGAAATCGGATTCCCAAATGCAAACATTTTTTCAAGATTAGCACATCTGCAAATGCAGCTTTCTGTGCATTTACACCTTTGTGAGTTGAAAGGAGCTCAGAAATAACAACGCGGTCTAGTAACTATCGGTTCTATGTAAGTTTAGATTTACATTAGTTACGCGTAGTAGAAACTTTGTAGATTGTCATTGGTTCAAGTTCTAACGCTCATGTTTGTTTTTGTATCAAAGCACCTGGAAGTATTAGAAGTTGCTAAGAACGTAAATGACTTTATTTAACTTTGGAAATGCGAGCACAAATCATAGCAATATTGAAGCAGTGCACAGGAACGGACGCTCTTTGTAGTCCACACATCATACAGAATCTATTACATTTGCAGGAAAATCTTGACGCGGATTGATCAGGAAGGTAATTTGAGGATTCATACCGGATTCGAGCCTTTCCAACCAATATTCAAAGAAAGTAAAAACCCACTTCAAATTTCTGCTCTGTTTTCGAGTTGCAACGAAGGGGTCAACTACGATAACATCCTCTTGACTAGCCGACTTCAAAGATAATTCCTTTGTGATTAGCATACTTTACCTTTCGAAGAAAATTAGGTAGCTTTCCACCAGACAACTGCAGAAAATCAGTGAAGCAATCTATAGTGTTAACTACAGAAGTTCGTATTATGATCAGCATCAAACTTTTACCCTATACCGGCAGTATCGGAACGCAAAAAATTGATGAAGCAATGTACTTCCTTGATGTACCATATAATCTGCGAACAACACTTTTGATCAACTTTTTATGACAACTTTGGACGCCACAAAGCAGAAGTGCATCACTTGCAAAACCATTCAATATGCTTGCACCCACAGAAAAGCCGTTAAGTTTTGAATAAATGCCAGTAGACACTATGACACACTGGGTTAGTCAACCAGCAGAGCGTTTGTGAATGAAGACCCTACCCAATGGATTGTTGACTAATAAGACCTCTAGTCTCAAATCCCCTCAATGGCGATTGGCCGGATGTCTTTGGAATCGACAATCGTAGAGAAATGCATAGTATGTTTAAAAGCAGATAGAATCTCATTTATTTACATGTCTGAAGTGGTTTCGATGTTCGTGTATAGGGCTCTATATACGATGCCTCATGAGCTTTACATAAACTCTAACTACAATTTGTAATCCTGGAAAGAATTCATTGACGGATATGGGTCGACTAGATCATGAAACCGTACTGAAAGATCACAATTAGAAGAATACGATATTAAGTACGTAGAATGAGATATGGCTTAACAGCAAGAGATTCCACAGCACTGGTACATCGCAATTATGGTAAAGCTTCTTTATCTTTGACAGAGATCTCGCGTAATCCGTCCACAGCTTGCTCTACATTGTTAGAGATGTTTTCATTAGAACCATCCTTCAATGTCGTAGCATCCTGTGCTTCACCAATCGCTTCGTGAGCATTCTCGAAATCTGTGGAGGATGATCGTTTGACACTGATACCGACTGCAGCCAGTACTTCAGAAAGCTTTCTGGAGTAGTCCAGATGTCCCTTTACCTGAAATTGGCTTGTTACTTTTGCTAAAGTGTCTCGAGTGACCTACTATGTGACTGAGATTGTAGTTGAAGATTTTCTTATTCTTGCTGTCCACGGGACCAGTACCGGCGATTGTAAATTGCACGCTCATTGTGCGGTAAAGAAACCTGCAATTGTACTGTTTCCTATATCTAAGAATACAAGTACGCGTTTTGATTTCATTGAATGATTGCTCTTTCTATGGCTTTTTATGAGGATGTAGCAGTGCTGTATCGCTTTTTATACATAAAGACAGGCACATCAACAGAAAATCATCATTCTATTCAGTCCTTTTTGAATAAAAGCTCAAGATAAATCAGGTTTTAGTCAGGTACAAGGGGCTGTTCTGTATCAGACTGGAAAACGATTCCCGTTGGTCTTTCGCTTTTTTATTTTGAAAAAGCCTCAGATACTAAAACCTCATAATCATATAAGGCATGAAAGATTCCATTTATTGCCAATGCTGTACAAGCACATATAACTAGGAAGTATTTGCTGACACACAGATTTAACTTTTTCTAACGTATTAGGATATCCCAGAAGTTTTGTCTTTCGACGGCTATAAATTTTTGTAAATGACGACCTAGCAGCATTAAGACAATTTGATGCAGATTTTTCTATTCTTTTCAGTTTTCATATACTGAGAAGGATGAAGATACTGAAGCAAATTCAAAAAATGTGCGCTGATATGGCTGTGTCGAGAAAGGTTTCCCCCCTTATCTGCTGAGAAGCTCTCTTAAATCACTCCTTCATGTGAATTCTAATTCATAATCTAGAAGCATGTATTCCATGATGAGAATGAACATAAACCTGATTTTCAGTAATATACCTGCTAGGTCTCGTACGGATCGGGGAATTGAGTACGTCGATGGATAAAAGTTTGCAATATGTGCTAGAGTGCTAGAGTTTTTCGAGAAATTAGAAAATTTGCTCTAATACCCTCTTTTCCTTCGCAAAGTGGCGCACTACAGAGCGAATAAATTGACAAATAATTGAAACCTCAATAGCCAATCAGTCTCGCAATATCCATTGATAATCCGACCACCGACAACGGTGCATAACTGATCCCATTCACGCGAAGAGGCAGATACCGGTGCGCCAAGCAAAATCACATCCTCTATTATGCCTGCAAATAGCAAAATGAATTTGTTGTCATGCTGTCCTACAATTCACATCCTCACCGGCAGATTCCGACCTTTTACTCATTGCAAGGAGGCAATGATAGATAACTCTTGCACCCAACGAGAATCCCACAAGTGATATGGGACGCTTCCCATGTGAACGACTAAGGAGAACCTCTGCGAGTTGTTCACCAACCTAGAAAAATAAAATTAACGTGTAAGGCAAAGAATAATATATCGACCTCTGCGGCTCTAGCTATACAAACATTCCACGGGTTGTCCAATACAGAAGCGCAGGAGAGAATGGCAACTGGCCAAGCAACAGCCGCCAATAGACCTAAAGGCACAAGTGAGTGAGAAAAGACCATTTGATCGGGATACTCACCCGCCAAAGCAGTTTCCATCAGGGTTTGCTGGATGGCCACGGATACAGCGATACTCATAATATAATTCATGGCCTTTCCCAACTCAATGAGGTATTTGCTCTCATAGCGAAGAGAATACTGTTCTCGAGACAAATTCAGATGCCTCCACTGATGCTCGAAAGCCACTTCACAAGACTAAATTATAGTTGTAAAATGACATACTTCAAATGTAATGCTTAAAACTCGTAGGACCCTCTCAAAGAGAGAAGGCAAATCTAAATCCTGAAAGAAAATCCTCTCCACACACTACTTGGAAACTGCGAAAATATAGCCAAATGTGCAGAAGAACGTTGTGGAATAAACTCCTCCTTCATCACTGATCATATTTTCAGATTATTCAGCAGCATTATGTTAGCTTGGCTAAAAAAATAATTTTTTGGCTTCAGAAATCTTCTTGGAGTTTTTTCCAAGATTTTCTGAGAAGAAGTAGTTCAGATTTTCTATTATGAGATATCAACTACTCAAAATTCTCTACTATCACTAAAAGGCAGGTCATATCCCAATGTGGCTAAATTCAGAAAAGCTTGGTTTCCTGACTAAGCTTTTTTTTTCATGCTGTGATGGATGTTTAGATGAGCAACTTGGTATCTGGATGGGTTTGCACGAGTTTTCTCTATGTAGCGTATGGCAATAAAAATGTGATCTGTCGTTCAAAAACTGTTTGATCAAAAACGAAATCTTCTCACATTTGCGCACAATGAGAAATTTCTCACAATGCGCGCAGTATTGGAGTATCTCACTTTTTTGCGCTTTTCTTAGTTGGGAAATAGATTCAACTAAAACATAATTTGCATTCGAGCTTTCAATGAAACTCTACTCTACTAAAGATATTAAACACATACAAAACTCGTCTGCAGCATCTGTGGAAGCCGCAAAAGCGACCGAAATTATTTATAAGCCAAGCTAATAATAGAAACTGAAACATCACCGTAGTGCAACTATGTTGCTAATGTAATGATGGAAGGCACTATTTTACGCCTGACTCCACTCGATTCACTTATCTACGATTCACTTCGCGATTGGTCAAATCAGCGAACTGACCAATAGCGAAGTGGATTGAATGGATCAAGTGGATCAAGTATGGCGCGTGCTCAATGGAGTAAGCACTAACGAAATGTAGCCCTTCTCTTACCGTATCCTCATCAATCCAACCAGACACGACCAAAGCGCAGTGTAGACTAAGCCCATCAGAAAGAGACTCTATCGCAAACTCTTCAATGGCTCCAACCCGTTTGCTCATCTGTAAACGAACTCGGCTCAAGTAGAATATGCAAATTACAAGGTGAAGTGAGTACTTTGTAGCCAGCTAGACCGGCTCCGGCCACTCCAAAGGTGGTCCCAAGGACAGCCGCCCCTGCGGTGGTGGCGATCCCTGCTGCTCCTGCTGTGCCGATAATGGCACCTGCACCAGCGGCCACGAGTGGAGCAGCCAATCCACCTGTCAATCCTGAAAGCTCATATATTGAAAATTTGGCACTTTGGGACTTATTTCTTACCTATCAGAACTCCTCCCACCCCTCCAGCGGCGCCAACAAGAAGATATCGTTTGATCTTTTTATTTCGTTGTGTTTTCTCGCGCGCAAGTTTGGAGGCTCTGAGAAATGAAAAAGATGTTAAATGAAAAGAGTTTGATAAAGCAGCATGCTCTGACTACGACTTGCAGCACGAAAAAATAAACTTACTCGTCTTCATCGTCGCTGAAACAAAGAGAATATGACAACAGATAAACGATCAGTGGAGAAGATGGACCAGTAAAAAAGTAAAGTAGGGCTAGGTGCTTACTTGGATTCCACAAAAGTTTCTTCTACCAGAGTAGACGCTAGCGAATCCTCCACCTAAATAAACAAAACTCAATCTATTTAATTCTGACGAGAATGGGTACAACTAACATTTTCAAATTCGTTCCACACAACACAAAGAAGAGTAGAGAGATGCCGTAAAAACACTCGATATCTGGAGTCATAGTTTCCTCAAGCAAGTATGATCAGCTAGTTCCACTTTGGAAAAAACAAGTGGTACCTGAGTTGACAAATGCTATTAGAAGGCTGCTAAGTACAATCATGGTTCCATCTTTAGAAACTAGAGGGTCGTTTTTGATCGTAGTGATTAATGCTACCAAGTCTGGTAGATCTTCTTCACCCTGTAAGAAGAAAACCTTTTGCCTTTTAGCTATTTCAAATCCCTCTGTGGCTGCTAAGGAGATCACGCCCTGTTATTAAAAAAAATTTCTCGTATGCAAGGGTCTAGGAGTACTAAATATTGATGAGAAATTTTTTTAGGAAGCGCCGTGGGAAACTCAATCCAATCTGCCGTTAATGAATAAACCAACTCGTAGCAATAAGATAAATATCGCTACTACTGGATTCTTCAAGACGATAAAAACCTCACCTCCAAATGTGTTTTGATCGTTCGAATAACCTTATCGGGAATCTCTAAATGGCTCACAACAACTTCGAACGCCAACTTTGAGAAGAATCTAAAACCTCTGCAGATTGTAATGCCAACGTACGATAAAAGCAAATCCTCACATGCTACCGGGCTCCTCATCGTCCCAGAAATCGAGTCGAAGCAGGCAAGCTGAGAGATCGGCTAAAGCAAATCTGGTAGCTGGTTGAAGCGACTCTGCCGCTTTCAATACTTCCTGAGGTGATGCGTCTGTCACTAGAAGTGGGTTTGATACGATAAAAATGTTTATATTTCGAAGGGACTTACCAGATGAAAGACTGTTATTTGACGATGATCTTAGAGGAAATCCCTCTCGTATGAGGGGTGTAGGTGACGAAGTTGTTGGAGTGCTCATTCCCCTATAGAAATATTTATTTATTTATTTAGTACGCTCTTGGTGTTTTCCTCACAAAAAGAACAAAAAGAACACGAGTTACTCATACAACCGCAATCAAGTCTAATATGTATAGTCAAATATAGTGTATCTTTTTCAAATTCTGTAAATGCAGGGGCGATATCTAAGCAATGAGATTTCAGAGATTTCCAGAATCAGAATGTGGACAGGAAGCTTAGCTTCAGAGGGCAGCGCAAGCGCTGCAAGCGCTTTTTTAATGGTCTCATTGCCAATGATTAAGGTACTTAGCGGGATCGATACGTTTATTGAGAGCTCCGCATGTTCAGAAAAGCTGACGGACGTCAGTATATTATGAAGAGGCATTAGCAGCAAAGCATTTGCTAATTCGTTATGCAAGCAGAAGAAAACGAGATTTAAGTTCATCCTAGATTATTATAATCGGCTTTAGCGGCTTTAGCGCACTGTTAAGGGGGGATTGTGGCAAAACTGGACTTATGTGCATCTTTGTCAAAACTAGACATTCTCAGAACATGCGAGTAAAAGATGGGGTGCGGTACATTGCAACTTCAAGCATAGGACATCTCTCCCTTCAAAGTTTTTCGGTCGACTAGTCCTATACGGCTGTATAAAAGCTAGACAATTTCGCAGCCAAAATATTACCTTTGATACTCATCGACATATCAAACTTTTATACATATAATGCTATATACTAGGTACAATTCGATCAGGTTAGAATTTTATTGAGTATTTTTGCTAGAATGACACATACTGGTGTATGAACCTAAAATATTAATTTCGGCTATATTTATAACAAACAAAAAATCGGCTATTCATAACATTCTACTAGTGCCCATAAAGAGACGGCGAAAAACGTGTCCAGATGCATGCTGCTTTATGTCTTGCTCAGAGTGTCTCATTTCTCAGGATCTTTACTGAAAAGCTTGGCTGCAGTATATGGCTAGGAACTAATATAGAACTATAAGCTCGATTAAGAGGAGGTTATACTCAACAAAATACGAGTCGAAGATGTGATGACTTTTGTCAAATGATTGTCTGAAATGGGGTAAAGTAAGGTCCAATTGTAGAAGCAGTACAGAATTGCTTACGTGAAACAATTTAGGAACGACAAATTTTTCAGAAAAAAGGCAAGTGAGAGAGAAAATAAAAAGGAGCAAAAGATCCTTCAGAAATCAAGTATTTGCTAAACAAGGCTTCGGCAAAAGATAGGGTGAAAAGAAAACAGCACCAGCATTATAGGCATAGGCTTACACATAGGCACAAATGTAAGCACTTTATATCAAAGAAGTACCTACAGAAAGTTAGCATCGGAAAGGCAATCATACTCGGAAGCTAATAGTACAGCCTAATTGGGAGTATTCGAAACGGTGTTGCAGAGACAAGAGAAGAATAATGCTTAGGAGAAGGGACAAGAAAAGAAGAGTTAGAAAATGCCATAGATTATGCCCTTACTGCACCACCTTTATGCATCGAGGCAGTTGCTTGGAAACCTTGCAAAAATTACAAAGATTAAGCTCACAAAAGCGACAGCAGAAAAGCAGATTGCAGGACGATTAGAAGACTTGACAGTGAAAACTAGTAAAACATGCTCTTGTAAATTTTGTTGTAGGGTCACAGTGTACATCAGCACTACATCATGTCTTACATTATACTTTCAAAAATTTTCAGAAAAACCCTCTGAAGAAAGTAGAAAGGAAAACAAAAACAAAAATTTTCGTAGTGAACTCGGCACTGCACAAAATGATTCTGCACATTGACTGCGTAGGCAAGTTAATGTAAATATGCTTTTCTATAGAAACTGCTGCATATACGAAAAAAGATGAAATGACTTCCAGAGCGCTGCAAAAAGAAAGACACCTTGATGGGGCTCGATACAGCTGGCACCGGGTCAAGCTCGATGTCGTTTTTGAAAAAAAAAGCAAAGGGGATATCGTTTTTGTGGTCGAAAAGACACGAAAATTGGAATTTCTAGTTGAGGTTTCACTTTTTTCGAGGGTTTTCTTTGTTTGGAGATTACGGTCAAATGGGACCTCGTACGAAATTTTCAAGAACAAAGGGGACTTCTTTTTGAAAATTCCTGCTGCTAGCTTGTGCCGAGCCCTGCACCTTGAAGTCAATATGGGAAAATGCAAGCAGCAGGTGCAGTAAAGGATATTTTCAAGGTAAGGGGAGGGGAAGGAAGAGTAAGAAATTGGTTTTATTGGAGCGGTGGGTAATTTACGAGATCTTCCTGAATTTTTCGCAAGCTTGAGAAACAATGAGGCAGCTTAGTATCATATTTTTGCTACGAATTTCACACGGCCAAATCTTGCCAGTTCTCAAGAGGAGAAGCCTGCTCAACATTTTGTGATAAATGATATTGGTATACTATTTACCACCCAAACGGGTTGGATCGCCTCACGATCTTCTTACGAAAAAAAAAACTAGTAAAAAAAACTTGTTATCAGACGAAAGCTTGATTATCCACGTCTCTCTTGCGATTATCTGTCTACCTTGCCCACAGCAACAATGGTTTGTTTGCTGACTTGTATCCAGGGCTCGGCATGAGATGGTTTTTGGAAAGTGCAAAAAACGAAGTCCCCCTTGACTTTCACGGAATTTTACGAAGTCCCCTTTGACCCAACTTCTTAACGTACAAAACCTCCAAAAATCGAGAGTCGACTAAAAAACTCTGCAATTTTCGTGCCTTTTCGGACTCTAAAACGATACTCTCTTTGCTTCTTGTCCCAAAAACGATATTTTTTTACAAGCCACTTGTCCCGAAACCTGATACTATATTCATAGCCGATTAAGCGATGTTAGTAATTTATTTTTCGAGCCAAAACATTTTGCGAGAGTAGGCAGTATGAACAGAAGTTATTTATTTTGCAAAGTGTTGCCCAAACAATTATCTCACAAGGAAAGGAAGGTTGGTCGAAGTGACCTTTTGAAATGAGATGTATACTGCTTTGTAGAGCTTGGAACGCTGACTCCAAATCTACCTTTGCTATCTGCTGCGAGCTTTTGGGCGAGTAGTTATGAAGGTTTTTGTGAGTAAAAATCTGAATGCAAAAATAGGATAAAATCAGTCGTAACCTTTTCTCAATGTTCAAATGAGGCAGCAGCGAATTGGTATACTTAAATCAAGAATAGTTGTTGCACCGAGTAAGCCGACTACCAATTAAGCCCTATAAAAAATGTTACGACTGATTTTAGCCTACTCTTGCATTCAGATTTTTACTCACAAAAACCTTCATAACTCCTTGCCCAGAAGCCCGCAGCAGACAGCAAAGGCAGATATAGAATCAGCGTTCCAAGCTCTACAAGGCAGTATACCTCTCATTTCAAAAGGCCACTTCGACCAACCTTCCTTCCCTTGTCAGGGGCAGTGAGTGGCGCGGCAAAATGGACGCTCATCAGATTTTGTTGGTGTTAGCTTATCATCCGCTTAAGTACACAACCCACCCTCCAAATACTGCGTTAGGTCCCAAAATCAAAAGCCCACCATTGGCATCCACTTAACGGAAGTGGGCGAAACTGCTGGGCCTTTGAAGATCATTTTGAAGTGCGTTTTTAGGATAGCGCATGGAGGGTTTTGGTTGGGGCTCTGCACTCTGGGAGAGAGAAGACGTAGCCAGTCTAAGTTCTTGCATGCATCCCTCTGACTACTTAGATAATAGCATTACGTTGTGATATACAATTCCTCTCCTGTTTTGAAGAACCATTTGAAGTCTCTCAGGGCTTACACATTATGCAGATAGAAACTATGAGAAACAGTTCAGTGGAAGATCGTCAATATGCAGTAATTGTATTATAACTTTTTTTGTGATCTTAGGATACCATTTCTAGAACTAATTGCTTGGTGGAGTTTATCAAATGATATGTTTGGTCAGGATGAGCAGAAATGTCATTCCAGACCAAAAAGTCTAAGCGGTGACTCACTTAGCTTTGCGTTGTTACTGATAAGGTTTTTTGAGCAAGAGTGACACTTTGTTTGAGAATCCATGATCGAAAGTCAGAAAAATAAGGTTTTCTAAACATTCTAAACGTTCCTCTTCTTGGGCAATTATGCTTTGAACTATGAACATTAACTACTGTAATAACAATTTGAGAATCAAGAGGGTACCAGAACACATATTAAGTTTGTTTTCAAGCATGGCAAAAACAGTCACAACCTACAATACCGCTCACAGAATGTGCAAAATTTCCGTGAATGTCGCAGAATTCCGGAAATTCCGCGAAGGTTCGCGAAATTCCGGGAATTGCACGACATTCCCGGAATTTCGCGGAATTCCCGGAATTCTGCGACATTCACGGAAATTTTGCACCTTCTGTGAGCGGTATTGTACTATCTCTCAATGTCACACTTGGGCTATAATTACGGAAATGGCTATATTCGCAGGAAGCACATCTATCTCTTCCCATGAAGAACTGGTTGTTTGATTGGGTACAGATGTGACGTGAAACCATAAAACCTTTACACTCCATGCCAGTTGTACCAAATTTCCAGCTGGAAAACCATTCTGTTCATCATTTGAACCCACAAAAACAGAGATTAGCAGAAGACAGCCGGAAACAAAGTGCAGATTGAGTTTTTCATTTGCTTGAAACGTTATCTACACTAATATCGTGTAAGCAAAGAAAAAGGGAGAAGATTGTGTCCAAGCACAGCGATCAATTTAGTGACGTAACTTATACTCACTCGAAAACACTGTTTTTGAATAAAATGCGAAGCACTAAGTGATGCTGCCAACAATTCGGCCCTCGATAAGTAGTTAAGTGCTTAACGAAAAGATCGATTTTAAATCCGTTGAAAACATCTCTCAAAATTTCTCCTATCTATAACTATGCAACAGAAAAAACTAGAAAATCGATAAAAACTCGATCATGATGTTCTATGTACAATGAAGGAGTGTGAGTTGGGGAACGCTCTTTGCATGTTGATCCAAAACGAGGCGTGCGAAGAACAATGAATAAAGAAAAACAGACACACATACTTTGAAGAAAGA